ACTGAGCTTCACGCTTTGCTAGACTTCTATAAGCACACTAGCTATGAGAAAAAGTCGTTTCACTGAGGCAGTTTGCTTCTTGGGGGTTTCAATTGGCGGCAATGGCATGGGGATGGGAACGGGGGGCCGGCATAGGCCCCCAGAGATTTATTTATTCCATCCCAAGAAATGTGACATATTTTGCTGGGATGGTGTGTGACAGCTATTAACCTTTGTAATTTTGATTGGATCGATTTTTTAGTGAGAACAGCTTAAATTTGCTCCTGAGACGACTCATTTAGACAAAATTTACCCGGGNNNNCCGAGGGGGGGGGGAACCTAAACCCCCCTCGGAGCAAATGAAATCACCTAAGCCCCCTTCGCAGCTGAAGGAGACCCACAAATCCCCTTTACGATTTGTTTTCCGGGGTTCCTGGACATCCCCCCCCACCCACACCAAGTTCCTAGTTCCGGCCACGGCCGATTTACTATTATTTTCGGGCGGCGAGGGAGGGAGGAGAGGTCGTTAGCTTTTGAGGCAATTTATGGGAGGGTGAAACAACTTCCACCTGCGGTTCATAAAAACTGCGATGAGATAATGGAAGTGGGAAAATGTTGAAAGCGCGGACGGGAATGTATCCGATAGCGGCTGTTCTGTTGCTACGATTTCCAGTGAGTCACGGTTGCGCGTTATGCGACGCAGCAGCGCTCCGGTCGTCAGGAGCTTCGAGGTCACCGATTCGAACTCCGTCCCGGATCACACTTATACACACGTTTTTAGTATCTGCCCGGCTAGATCTGATTACTTTGCGGCTGTCTATCGACGGCTCCTTCCGAGCAAATGCGCTTGAAAACGCCGCGGCTCGCGGCGCCTCACAGCGGAGGTGCGGTCGCTCAAGTCAAATACGGGCTCAGCTCCGAGCCGATGTTCCTTCCTTCTTCCTAGAGTACCTCCGAAGGGACAGTATTCTGCTGTGCTATGGAAGAACGCCTTATGAAACTTAAGGAGTTGCCAGATTTCCGTTGGTAAATCGCGAACTTTCGGGAAATATTGTAATTATTTTTTTTCCGATTATTCAGATGATTTTGTTCGCAATTTTACCTTAAGTTCTAGAGAATTTCTCAAAAAAATATTCATGTCTTTCCTCAAAAATAAACATTTGATCGAAGGAAATTCGGCAACTCTCGAATATTCTTACGGCGTTCTTCCGTAGCACAGCAGAGTACCTCCGAAGAGACAGTATTGACATTGGAGGATCCACTTCTTCAAGAATTCGGTTAATCAGGGCTGCACAAGTGAGATAAAAAATTTGAAAGATGGGACATTTCCGTGAAATATTCCATGAAATTTCACTAATCTGTTTCCCCAGGGGTCGGAGATGCAACACGCACTAAAAACAATAACCCTCGTAGCAGCGAATGTTAAAAAAAACTTCTTAAAAACTCACAAATTACAAAAAGACAACTCTTAAAATACCGTTAAAATATTCGTAATGGGAAACCCTTTTTGGCTATTTTTTCCAGTAAAATTTAACTAAAAGGGTGTTAAAAAAGCTCTTAAAATATCAACTGCAGTTTTACAACACTGCTAGAAAAAAAGGTTGTTCTGAAACACTTTTTTCCTTAAATTTTACTTAAAAAATAGCCAAAAAGGGTTTTCTAATACAAACATTTTACCAGTTTTTAGAATTATTTAAGAGAGCAGATTCCTACTAGGGAAAAAAGCAAAAACCATGTGCCTTTAAATTTAATTTTGCGTTCAATTTCAAAAAATATTAATCAATATCTTTCATTTTTTTCTGAAATTTCTAGATTATATTTTTCGAGAAAAAATGGAGTCATGACCTTAAGTACTTTGCATAATATGTTTGATTTACATGAGCCCTATTGAGACGTTGAGTACCTCAGATTTGTAATGTATGAATTATGTTATTTTCATGATGAAGCTACTTCGCTTAAGCTTTCCACTCAAATAAGACTAGAATGTGATGGTCACCTTTACTTTATCTGCCTTTTGTAAACTCACTTTGGAACAATGAAAAACACATGTCTTTTTATAGAATTGATGTTTGACTGCTAACGTCACTGAGACTGGCGCATGTTAAAATTCTTGACTGAACATGGTAGTAAGCATGTTGTTACTGCAATTTTCAAGGAATATGCATCACAAAAGTAGCTACGACTGGCAGGGGCAGACTGGGACCAAAACACGACTAGGAACTCAGGCCTATCAGTATTTAGACTGAATGAAGTATTTTTGTTGTTTACACATAAATATGTAATTAAAGTATTTCAAGCAAAGATGGCATGATAATAAAAGCAGATAAAACCTCATGGTAGGCACTTATGAGTCATCAGCGCTATGTCCATCCATTTTTAAAATCCTGAGAGCTCCATAGAGCCTAACATAACTATGTCAATTAGTGGTGTATCATCCACTAGCTGTACTGTTCATAAGGGTAATCTAATTATGATTAGGTTGATTCTAAATTCATGCATGAAGAAAGGATTTCTAGCAATTGGTGAAATAGTTGGCATAATCAACACAAGGTTGACTCATCAACGATAGAGGCATTGGCTTTTTTTGCTTCAACCTCTAGCTTGGAGTAATTTTGGAGAATCCTCGTCATAAAGTGAAATAAAATTGTGATTAAATCCAAACTTATGGAGCCAATAACTAAGAATACCAACTGACAGCAAATAACACCGATTGTGTGGTGCTGTGTGAGGTTCTATTCTTGAGCATAACAGAGAGGACAGGTTGCGAGCTAGCAACTTTATATTTCTGCGACACCCGAAGAAATTACCATTTAATTGTGACACAACTATCTTTCCAATCCTCATTATCGCCTTGATTTAATGTACTGGTTGTACACTCTCAAACTTGGATGTAAGAGCCAAATAATAGAGGGGTCATCTCCCTAGGATGCAGCCTTCCGTTTATTGTCATTGTCATGAAAAAAAGTATGCATTTCAGAATCGAACAGAGGCTGCTATGAGGGGTAATATAAAATACACTCAATGATGGAAATTACGTCACTAGCTAGACAGTGTGCACAACAAGGAATCTGAATCACTTCTAACAAACTGGAAAAGCTTGAAACCTCCAAAAATGTTATTAAATTACGAACTGATATTTCCTGTGTGAATTGAGTTCCACAATTTCTGAACAAATTAAGAGAGCATTAGGACCAGATTCAAAATGAGACCGTGGGCAGAAAAACATTGGATTGAGATTTCACAAAGTAGAAAATGATCACATTATGAACCAATTGTTAAAGGCAGTCTTGAATTTGTGTGAAGTACAATTTTAATTACACCCAACTAAGTATGGATTAGAAGATGAAGAATAGATGACAGAAGAATCAATGAAAACAGATTACGGTAGATTCAATACCTCTGTTTCCACTTATCAGTGAAATGTGATTAGCCAACTTCCCTAAGGGAAAAGCTTTGAGCAACATACGAGAAGCTAGAAAACTACTGTATCCCAAGAATCGCTTTTCTCTATCTTAACTGTGACATCAACTTGACACGATAACCAAATATTATTGTATAGGTTATGAAGGAAAATTAGCCTGGGTAGGATTACATGAGTGCAACAAAGAAGAGTAGGGCTCGTTCTTGATGTCAAAGCATTGATGGTTAGGGAGAGAAGGATGAAATTCATTGATTGAGAGGAAAATTTACTTTTGACTGAGAAAGACATGTTAGAATGGGCACTTGGGTAACTAGCATTTTGACATATGTCACTGTCTCATTCATGTAATTTCACCAGCTTTGAAAGTTCTGAGTAAAATAGCTATGGATTCAATCAAGATTTAAAATTCTCTAATGGATGACTACAGAGGAAGAATCCTTACTTCAGTGCCTTGACAACGAGAGAGGAAGGGACAAAGAGAAATAGAACCATACTTAATTTCCAGGGCCTCAAAGTGGAAACTAAAAATCAATAATTACTGAGAAAGTTGAATGAGGGATAATTTCTGTAGTGAAATCAACGAGGATCCCTCATGAAAAGACGTAGGAAGGAGAAAATGAAATAGGCATTTTCCTCAGATGTAAGAAAGGTTAGGTCAGAGTGGAAGCTCTCAAACTTAATTTCTGCAGGTTGTGACACATGAAATCCTTGGGATATTTTGTGTTCACCAGATAAAGGAGCAATCTAAAGAAATTTGTAAGTAACCAAGATTCAAATGCAGACTAGGTGAATGAAACCTCATTCCGAATGCTTTAAGTAGAACTTGTACACAAGTTGGAAAATGAGAAGGTGGAGAAATTGGAGACTTGAGTAGCCTTTCCTGATGCAGTAATGGTGAGACAAATTAAGAATTTAAAACATGAAACATAGCAACTTCCGAATTCACAAGAGAATCTGGGTATAAGCGCGATCAAAGAAAATTGATGTTATGACAGCAAGTGCTTCCACTGCCATAGATCAAAGTTAAAGGAACCTCATTTGGGGGAAAATATGGGGAAGAGGGTGGGTAGGAGACAAATAGTATTCAAATTATGCCATTTGCACAGAATTTGATAATGTAAATCATGCAAATAAGTCACATTGGAAGCATTTGCCATGAATAAGGTCAGATAATGAAAATAACTGACTTTAGGCTCATGTCACAGTCATAATCAATTCATGTGACTTGATGGACATGGCATGAAATGAAACTCTGGGAAAGGGAGGAGGATGAGAGATAAATAATGTTTGAATTGAATAATGGTAGAATGTTTTCAGTATTCAAAATAAAACAAAGTTTCTAGCCTTACCAGTAACTGTCAGCAGCCGAACGTACGAACATAAATACAAACGTAAACATTACGTTCATTTACACTCAATTTAAACTGAAAACTTTTGAGTCTTTGGTCAGATTATGATCACCGATGAAAAAATGACTAAAATAACAGTTTAAAAGAATCAAATTCACTAATAATCACAAAATTAGACCCAAATATTGTTCAACAACACTGCGAATAACCTAAAGATGGCGGCCATCCTTGTTTCACAAAAACAATTGGTTCACACGAGTAGAAACACGGTATTCGAAACTCTCGAACCCAAATGGTCGTATCCGGTACTACGCAGACAGCGACACAGCAACTGATGAGTATATTTATGACCCATTTTAGCATTTTGGCCAAAGCAAATTTAGAGATTCATAGCTGATTTCTTTCCCTAGCGGGTTCAGCGGCAGATTTTTCGCGAAAAATACTGATGCTACATTGCGGAATTCTAGAAGGACGTAATGATAAAAAAGGTTTTTCGGTAAAAATGTGTCGCATTTTATTTTAGCGATTACTGCTTGAGTCAGCCGTCGCTGAGTATGAAGCGCCATTTTCAAATCAACCATGAACGCACGTTTATGGTACGTTCTTTTTGGGGATAATGAATTTAAAGTGTATACTGAAAGATACTTTAATTTTAGTACGGTTGTCCTCTCGCTAAGTAAATTATACTTAAAATTATGCCCTACCGAATGCGGCGTGTGGCCTGCGCTTTTCCTTTGACCAGAGCGTGGTGTGTTACAGAACCGCTCTCAGCTCTGTATATATTGCAGACATTTTTATACAATCGGAGAATGGTTTTACTTTCGAGGGCCGGCAGCACTTCATATTTTATTTTAGATTTTAGATATTGGAAATTGGTTTGGGCTTCAAAGTAGCTTGTCATATCAAGTTCCCTGCTTGCCCCTGCTCCACCATCCTCATGTGAGAGGGTGTCAGGGTGTGTGCGTGTGTCTATGTGATACACATAGAAGGAGACTAAGAGTGTGTGAGTGTGAGTGTTGGTGTAGTAGTAGTATGTTATCATCATCGCAGTAAGGGAATTCTGTTATCACTTCACTTTTATTTCGCTGCCCGTGTTTTTCTTAGAATTCGAATCCGATTGAACTTAGAAAGTGAAATTTTAAGTCGAATACACACATTTAAAGATCAAAATAATGCGAAGAGTATTCCTTACGCTCTTTAATGAAGTACTCTATTAATTCAACACCTATTCTCGGTCTATTTTGACCTCTTCGACCAACTATTTCCTTTTTCCAGCCATCACATTTGCATCAATCTGACTCGGAAATTTATCTGAGTAAGTACCGTTTGCTGGCTAGTTCATACCCATTGCCGAGCTCCCCTCACTGCCGTCAATTACTTCCAAATATTATTCATCCTTACATCAAATTTTCAACTTCCAGAGCAGTCGTCAACTAGCTGTACCGCGAGTAAACAATCCATGACCAGTTGAATTTTTCTTATCAAAACATTGGTTTTGCCTCTAATTTTTAATACAATATGGTTGAACTGAGCTGTGCATTTCAAACAATTACTTATTTTTGAAAAGAATCAATCAAATGGAAAACTGACGTAACTTGAGTTGCTGTGCTTAAAAAGTCAAGTAAATCTTATGTCAGTTTTATCGAGTAGTTTCAGCTTGATGTTGAATTTCTAGATCACAAGAAACTCTTGGGAAAATCGTTACTAGAATTTTTATCAAACATCGTAGATCCATAATACGTGCCTTAAATTACAGGATTACAAGTGCCTACTCCAGGAAAATACGCTTTGTATTTTATAATGCATTGTTAAAACAAATATATCCTAAGCCGTTCGGTTTTGCTGTTTGCTAAATGTAACTCATTAATCCTATCGACTTCCTAAGATTGTTGAGCATTTGGCAGAAATGTTTGGCATTCATGTGTGAACATGCAAGATATCCAGTAATTCAAACACAATTGAACAATGCCGACCGGTTGGGTGATTCCGTTTCCAATTGGTGCACACAGTTAGGTTTAACAATGCACCTTCGGTATTTTTTTTCTTTCGGCACTCACCAAAGGAGTATTCTTAATATGATTTTCAATTCGGCAAAATTGACTGCTTCAAAAGCCACTGTAAGACACTGAAGAAAATCAATTGTAAAACTAAAAAGCAATGAATCTTCGTTTGCAGCGCTATAGATTTCCTATCACATTTTTTTAAAGTATTTATGACTGATATACATTACTACACCAATCTCAGAAAATTTTGCAAAGAAGATGCATAGTATTCCCTAATAAGTTACGTAAGGGTGAAAATTCTAAAACACTGCAACTGAGGTATGTTCTTTCACAGTTACACTGACCAAGTGCAGCAAGGTACTTACCATGTCATTCTGGGCCGTAATAAAGGATTGACCTCTAAGCTCAAGAACAAACAGAATTTGTATTGAACCCAGCTCCTAGTTTTTTACCATGCAAAATTTTCTGGAGTAATTCATTTTCATATGAAGTTTTCATTTCATCAGAATCCTTAGAACTGACACAAGTTTGCTTTATCCACACAGGCGGAGAAAAATGTCAGGGTCTGAGGACCTCTTGGAGTCCTTGATACGATGTGGCTTATACATTGGAGCAGTCTTTCAATTTATATGTATTGTGGCAGTCGTCTATTTGCCTGACACTCCTGGTACAAGTATTAAGGTAATTTAATTTTTTTAGCCTATAATTATCTCTAAATATAGTTAGCTGTAAAGCAATTTAAGATGCGCAACCTTCAGTTGATAGATCTGCATCAATCATTTTCTATTTTCTCCATCGCAATGTGTACATCGTTTAAGGGGTGCAAAAAATTCCATACAATTCCTAGGCCCAATAAAAATTTTCCAAAAGCAATACTTTTTTCTTTCTTTTTTTTTGGAAAATCTGGCAGCTGACGGTCACCAAAAATGAAAATTAATTATGCATTTACTTTTGCAATGCAGTACTGTTATACATTCATTATCTACTCAAGGTGAAAAATATTGACTTGTAATTTTACTGCTTTGTAAAGTAGAAAATGGGCTTTAAGATTTCTGCATCGATAGAAAAATTTTTACCAGCCAAATTATCTTTTGACACAACTAGCGTGTGGCTCAAGAAGTTCCACCGTTGCCATGAGAATAGAGAGGCCGTAAATACTCGGTTTTGTGACGTCAAACTAGTAGAGTAATCGCCGTGTTGACCAATCAGAGCCACCGTTGATCGGCCGAAGTTGCATGAGCGGCTCGTTTAAATCTTAATGGGGTTTTTTGGTATTTAGTCGTGTTTAGCTTTTATTTTCTCAATTATCAGACAATGTAATCTATGAACTAGGCAGTTTTCTGATGCGAAATTTGATCTTCTTTCTAAAAGGTTCTTATGAATTTTTGGACCAGATCAACCCCTGAAAAGATATTAGCATAAAAGGAGCATGTGCCAGGCGTTTTTCGTTAAGAACACATGTTAAATCGCGCTTGCGTGACGTCCCAGAATCGTAGTTACAGCCTCTATTCTCATAGACAACGGTTTCGAATGAATTTTCCAAAGCTCTTTCTTCAATGTCTTAATGTTTATTTTTCAAGGATGGATGCATGGATGAGGACAGTGAGGATAGCCCACAAACAACTCCTCGCAGGCCATTTAATCATCATCGCTCACGGAAACTAGACAAGAAGAAAAGGCGCTAAACTAAGGAGACTGTATTTTGCGGTACAGCAGGAAATGGAAAGATAAAAGCCTCTCTTTGGAGAAAGACTGACATGAACTTGGCTCACAGGCTTTAGCTAGGTTAGAGCTGTGATAGGAATGTCACCGTATGTATTGCCTATTGTCACATCCTGCTTTTTATGGCTCATGTGAATACGTAAAATGTCCAGGAAACCAACTTTTGGTAAACCGCAAAATACTGTGGAGGCATTAGAATCGGAGTCTGGAAGAAAATCGAACAATTTGTATCTTAGTAGAAGGTTGTAGAGAAGACACACAACTGTTTCCTCTCTCAACTCTCACACAGAACTGATTGTGAGTAATGTATAAAAAGGACGTTGGACATCGGACATTTTTGCATGGAACGTACAAATCTGCCCAAAAATAATTATTTTTGAATCCTTATAAAATCTTGGAATTATAGTAATACATAATGTCAGACTTCCAGTGATACAAACAAAAATTTTCTTTTTTCTCCGAGGCTCCAATGAAAGTTACTTGACAGCGGAAAAAGAAAAATAATGGACATTGGATGTTTTCCCACGAGTGGAGATTGGCCCCACAAAAAATTTATTCAGGTCTGCCTAGAATGCATGAAATTGATTTTAATTACTTAAAGTAGGATAAACCAAGAAATGAGGAAGAACCAGAAAATATTTGTGTATATTAGACAGCTGAATTATATTTGCAGATGTGATTGATTTGTCGCAGACTACAATCCCTAATGAACCAAGTTTTTTAGCTGAAGTAGTTCAAAATTTTGATGGTTTGAATCCACTCCTAATGTTGATTTTCTTCCAGCTCAAATTCTGGGGCTTTTTAATGGCAAAGAGGCATTCAAAAGTCTGATGTAACGCCCAATTAAGAATATGATGTGGAAGAAAGTTGGTTTCTAAGTTTTGAGTTTTCATTTCACATTTTTCCATTAATTTATCTCATGTTTTAAAAAGAAATTTTTAATGAACACTCAAGTTTGCTGACATCGGTTTTTTGATGAATCGCTGAGCTCAAATAGTTCATTTGTCAAGCTGCATTCTGTATCCAAGTGAAACCATGAAACAAGTCTCTTGACGATTTTGGTGACTCACTTCCATTTTTTTTTTCCAAAGGAGAACAAACTATCTCTATCGTTTGAAATTTTCATAGAATACTGTTTGCATAATAAAGGAAAAATCAGATTTTTCTAAAAAAATATTCTTATTTTTGCCCCACCCCAAAAATGGATTATGACAGGAAGTTTTCAAATTGAGGTACTGTTCATAGTAATTTTTTTTTTTTTTTTTCAGTTTCTACCCTAATACTTATCATCATTGTCCAACAAATATTTTCCTTCCATCATTCTAGTCTAAGGGTCAGTTTTATCACCTCTGGCCAAATTTACATGATACGTAACTAGGGTCTAGCGTTTATCTTCATTTACCCTCTGGTTAAATTTGTAATGCCGTTTTAAACATAATGACAAAATGCTGCCAACTGTGGGTGCATTCTGCAAGGTGCCACATCGTGTCCATCATCAGTTGTTCCCCCACCATCTTCGTCAAGTTTCGTGACACATCGGGTCTTGTCGTAACATTATGGCATTGGGCTATTCAATGGGGTATTCCTGACTTCAGGCATTTCGAAAGGGCAATTTTTCATTTGGGTCCCTCAGAAATCTGAGATGGCCCCTAAGAAAACAAATTGCAGGCTAGATGGCTGCTAAGACTTCATGCGGAGTTTCAAACACTGGATATTTTGTTATTTTTCCTTCTGCCAAGCGAAATTTGACAAGAAGTTCAGGGTAACAAGAGGTGATAGATTGCTACTTTCTTAGTTATCTCCTTGCAGCACAAAATCAGTAGTTTGATCACAGGTGATATAGTCGACCCTTAATATTCAAATATATAGGATGTCCACCACCAGTCACCTCTAATTTTTCATAAATGAGTGGTGCTATTAAAATCCACAGAAATTCACTAGCTCAAACACATCAAAGAAGAACATGTCCTAACACCTCAACACTTATTATATCACTGAGTGCATAGGAGTGACACATGCCACTCGGCAAAATATTGTAGATCCAGCTCATAACTCTTATAATTCATAATTGAATCGTACATGTTGAAAACACGCCATCTCTTTCTCTCTGTAATACATTCTTCAACATTTTTTGAAATCATGCGACTGGGCAAGTCTTTTTTCTCACAAGGGAAAATGATTCTGAGCTCCTAACGTGTCTCTTCTGGTGAAATATGAAACTAAGAAATAATCACTGTTTGACAAGATCGGTCAAAAAAGACGTTCTAGTAAAAAAATGATATGGCGTGTTTTCATACTATATGATTCGATGTTGAAAGGGAACAAGTTCAATCCAAGTGATGTTTTCAAATCAGTATTATCTCTTTGACGTTATATTGGTGTTCATCTCTTTATAGAATACTCATCAGAAGAGTATTTTTTCTAAATTACTTTTTCTCGAAATAAGTATTTTCCTCGTATTTACTTACAAAAATTTCCATTTAATCTTTTTTTATGTAGTTTTAATATAACTGATCTCCATGTACAATACCCATTTTTATATTATGTTTCTTCTTATGTAAACTTTGAACTTTCAGTATGTATTTTCCAATTTAAAAATACTCTTTTTTGTAATATTGTTCCTTTTTTTAAAGTTAAAATATGGCTGTCAATTTTTTAACTGAAATCAAATTAAACAGTAGAGATTTGTACTGTTATATGTATTATTTTCTTCATAATTTCACTATCAGAAAACTTTCAAAGAAAAATTAATTTAATTGTAGAGGGTAAGGATTCTTATAGGAAGAAAAGAGGGTGGTAGTAGTTTCCAATCTATTCAAGTATACTGTGATGTAGGTAAGTGCAATATAAAAGCATTATCCCTGCTAAATCAGAAATTCAGTGTATGTAGACTAGATCCTTGGACCATTCAAGGACATACGCTGTTCAAATGTAATTCAAAACAAGATATAATTTTGAACACCTTTGGAAGAAAGTTTTTTCCTACTGACTACACCATTTTTGGAAAAATCAAAAACGAAAATGTCTGAACCCATTAACTGCAAGAACCTGTCCATGTCCATTGATTGAAAGGTGGGTATAGACATTTTGGTAATTTATCTCTTAAAAAATGGTGTGGTTTGTGAACAAAAAGCCATAATTAAAAAAGTCTTGTAAATTATATATTGTGCTGAGTTACAATCAAACAGCGGATGTTTCCATATGGTGCAACTGTCCGGTTTCATACAGTGAATTTCCGACTCGGCAGGAATATCGACTTTATATTGCACCTTTCCACAACAACACAGTGTATTTAAATGAATTGGAAACAGCTGCCATCCTCTTTTCTTCCTCCCTACATTCTTACATTCTGCAATTTCATCTAGCTCGCTTTCTCCAATGCTATTTTCCTAAAAATAAGAAATTTCATGAAATATTCATCTAGTGGTCGCTAGTAAGAGACCTGTTTTAAAAACAAGAGAGGGAAATAGTTATCAGAATGAAAAGCCGTTTACGCAGTTAATTCCATCATTTCTTTATTGAAAAAGAAAAAGATTTTTAAAATTTAATTTTTTAAAATATAATAATTATTTACACAAAAATAGCTGGCACATGTAAACATTTCGATAACCATCCAACGTACCAACAAAATTCAACAAAACGTTAGAGGTATGTAGTGATTACAAAAGAGGGGGATAAACCCTAGAGGAAAATAGAATAATCAAATTAATTTTTAAACTTGCAAGAGGAACTGAGAGTAAACCGAATAATTCTATCTTCCAAATTTTCTCGATCCTTCTTATTAAGTATATCTACGGAAAAACTGCAAACTTTACCATATGAAAAATTCAGAGTTGGAACCACAAAAAAAATAAGCTGTTTCCAGAAAAATGACACATATTGCAAAACTTCACACAAATTATTCAAGTATTTAAACCTAAATCAAGATAGCCGAAATATTTTCGCATGATTTCTTTTTCCCCCATTTCCTAAGTGATTTTACTTTTGAGTGAGTCTGGCAACTGCATTGCAAGAGCAGGGTGTCTACTAAAACAGGCTGGCCAAAAATCAGTACTTTTACAGTCTTTTTTCAGTACATTCCCGAAAATTCAGGACCTCCTCAACATTTCAGTACTTTTCCAGTACTTTCAATTGATGGAATTCGAAAAATTTCAAAAATTTGAAATTCTCGCTTGAATTGCGATAAAATTAACAAAAATTCCAGACCTCCTTGCAGAATTTCCTCACTTTTTCAGTACTTCCGGACCACCCTTAAAAAATCAGTACTATTTCCGGACTTGTAGATACCCTGAAGAGAGGGAAAATATGTGGTTTTAAAACCAGGGATGAAAAACTTTAGCTCTCTCTTGTTTACTTCACTAAAAGGGAAGTAGGGGTGTTAAATTTTTTAAACTTCAGTGCTTACAACTCAAAAGTATGCATATTTTTACCTGAAAATATTATTCAAAGGACAATTTTCTTTCTTCGAAGATACTTCCAGGATTTGGTGTCAATGCGCAAACCATGTACTAAATTCACAGCCACAAAAGTTGAGGAGCAGTTCTTCTTATTTGGAGTCTTCTGACATGACCATAAACTTTTAGAGCCGGTCCAAGCTTTAAATTAAAATCGTGTAATATGTTGTGTCGCTTCATCAAGAGCAATGACAATCCATCAATTTCCTGCAAGAAAATAATAAAACAAGAAGTGAATAGGGGCAAAGCTACGTATCGATGGCCAAAGTGCAAAACCACGTACCTCCATTGTGGTGTTTTAAAATTTCCGCTTTTATTTAATTTTTTGACAAGAAACAAGGCGACTTCATAGCTTAAAGTTTTCAAAAAATTACTTCAACTAGTTCTTCAAAAAAAAAAAAAAAAAAAAATTAAAGTTAGACAGGACGTTTGCACTTGCAAACGGAGATAAGGGCTTGACACTTTGGCCATCAGTATGCTTTAAAATTTATCTTTTTACAATTTACTTCAAATTATTCAATTATCTTTATAGGAAAGGTCAGTAGCTTTAACAAAAGAACTGTTCTTGCAAATTATAGTAAGATCCGTCCAGTTGTCAAGTTTCTACGTTTAATGTTGGTGAGGGTAGAACTTGTTTAAGATGCACTGGTAGTTCTTTACTTTTGACCTTCGTATGCAGTCAATCGATGTACATTAAGCGATAGAGAATTTGTAGGTGTCTGAAATTTTGTAAATTTCATCTTTAAAATGATACTCCTGGGAAAACTGAGCATGCGAATATCGTCGGTTTCTAAATTGGACAATTATTGGAGAAAATATGACCAAATAACCTAATCTGCTAAAATCCATGTGTTTAAATGGGAAACGCCGCCAGATGACATCATAAGGCGGCACATTTTCTCACTTTTAAATCTATTTTTCTCCAATTTCTCATGTCAGAAAAAAATTACGAAAAATTCTGTGAACTCAGCTCATTGGGCACTCTCAGATGAAGCAATAAAATTTTTGTGTACAAATTCTCCATTGCATTTATACACAGTGGCAGTGTTGCTTTTGATCATAATCAGACAGCATAATAAGATGGGCAGGAGACAACTGTGAACTTATTTGACTGCCACCTTTTGGAGTACATGGTGAGTGCTATGAATTACTGTTGAAATACATGCCTCGTTTCTTCTACCTTGGTTCTATCAGTGATGCGCAATACAAATGAGTGCATTAGTGATAATACAATAGTAGAAAAGTATTTCACTGATTCGGAACCTTGATAGATAAAATAGATAAAGAAAATCTAACATGCATTACAAAGCAACTATTCTCAGCTCTGTGATCTCTGTAGGGATTTATAAATGGTTTTGAGGGACTCTTGGTAATTGGATTTTCTGGATTCATCTTCCCACTGCGCCACTCCCAAATTTCGCATCGCATCATTGGATTGTGAGCTGCTGCACTTGTTGCATATCGACAGTAAGTGACTTAAGAATGGTTACACTTCTTATCTGAAGTATCAGGGTACATATTCCTTTAAAATAATGTGGGATTCATTCATCACAGGATCATCCTCTCAGTGTGTATTAAAAGCTGCCTACCTATAAAAATGGTGCATTGTTGATGGAGTTTCACTTATTAAGACAGAATAATTTGAATGATAGAGAATGAAAGTTGATCGGCAGGCATGGGTCGATGACAATATTTCAGTAAAAATGCAATCAATCTGCGAAGTAATGAAGATGAATTCTAAAATATTCTGCGGGCACGATAAACTCTGATACCTTTTAGATGAGGTTCAACATTCCTGAAGTCGCATACTTGGGATATGCAATAGATGCATCAACTCATGTTGCACTGTATCATTTAGACCTAGGAGGAGGTGGGTGAAAGAAAATTCATTTTTTCTAGATCAATAACACTTAAGAAAACTGAAAGTGATGATTGCATGATGATGAGTATGAATCTTAGGTCAGTGCATCCTACACCAAGTGTTTTACAAAATAAGGAAAGTATCAAGAAAATTCATTAAAGTAAGTATTTTGAAAAAATAACATCAGATTCCTACTTCAATTAGTTGAAATCTATAAACGCATTTGGTAGATTTAGATCCAGCAAAAAGAAAAAATTAGAGAAACAAACCTGGTGTTTAAATATTTCTGCGATTGACTGTTGGAAATATTTAGTGAAGTATTTGTAGACGTCCTCGCAAGACCATTTGCTGGCATCGGGAATAGATTCATCAATAGGATGTCCTTCAAAAGGATCGTTGAAACAACTTTCGATATTAACCGATTCTTTATGATCCACTGACTCAGTGTCTGTGTCAGCTCGAGAGCAATTAAGAGACGGCGGTAATGAAGCTGGTTCAATTTTTGCTGATAGAATCTCTTCTGCACATTCTGTACGTTCTGCACGTGCTTTCATTGCTTCGTCCACCAACGCTGAGGAATTAAGGAAAAATAATATCAATTTAGATTGAAGCACAGTTTAAACAAGACTACGACGGCTTTATTAAGGGCTGTTCATTGTTTACATCACACTGATGGAGTTATAGGAGCCCCCCTCCCCCTCCTGGCTGCAAAAACTTCCTGTTCGTGCAAATGACCAGGCCACGTAAAATACGGGAAGATCTGTGAATCCAGGGTATAAAAGAGAGGGCTGTAAGAATGTTTCACTTTTAGCATTAAGCTAGGTTATGTTTAGTTTGTCTACTTAAGACATGGTATCTTAGAGTTCTTGACTATGTAGATTCCCTGATTTTTGCCTGATTTTCAGGTGCTCATTCCCTGATAAGACCAAAGTTTTTTCCCACTTCCCCAGGATTTCTTTAGAGAGTCTACATAATTCTCCGGAGTTCGAGATATAAATATCGATTTTTTTATTTGTAATCTTTTTGCTGATTCCTTGGCACACAGTAGAATTTTTAATTCCAAAGGCGTTTTTGATGTTTATGTTATCTAGTCAATGAAAGCTTCTCAATTATTTTGACGATTTGAAGATTCGTGAGGTTAATAATGGCGCCTCAGGCACGATAACAAACTTTAAAATGATCTCCAAGCAGTAGAAGAAGAGCTTCTCGATTTTTGGAATAGATTCCCTAATATTCCCTGGAATTTGTCATTCACCAATGCATCCCAGAATTCCTGGTCTTTTTCGATCCTGGACGCCAAGACTTAAAAACTCTTGACAAATTCATATGCTGGAACCTTGAAATATAATTACTTACACATAATGGACTTGGTAACCACTATTTGCTGGATGATCTATTTTTAACATTCCCATTTCCAAAAACATGCTGCCCTTTTGGTCCAGTTTTAGGCTCTCACAGAAGGAGCTGTCAACTTCAGAATTAAAGTTCCTTTTGAATGTTGTTCTTGATCAATTGGCACATTAATGAAATATTCATTTCACAAAATTATTGTCATAAGACATTTTTGGAGAAGTTTTGATTTTTTGGCAAGTGGGTGGATGGACAGGGCATAGACAAGGCAGTAGCATTCTGGAGCACGCAATGCTGTTGAGAGTCAGAAAGTGAGATGAGCATTTAGCGACTCACAGTTGTATGCTCGAAGCTACTGCTTATGGTACTCAACTCTACGCACACAAAATTATGAGTACTTGGAAAACTATACATTACATCTTTTTGGCCATGTGAGAACTTTAATTCCGCATGATACTCTGGACAACACGTGGAGATCTATTGCCGATTTGACTGGGGGTCACTCCCTGTAGGGAATTATCTTTTCTTTTCCTCTACCATAAAGGATTTTCTGCTGAAGTACTTAAAGTTTCAGATTTGTGTATTTAAGGATAATTGAGACGATCTCTTCACATAAATTTACACATGACTTACCGATTTGTGAAGCAAGAAAACAGCCACGACAAATCCATTTATCATTTTCCTTTGAGATTTTAGTTTTACAGCTGGAAATTGTATCGTGGCAGACTGCATGATATGCTTCATCACAGGCATAACAAATGAGGAGTTTATCCTAGAGAGAGAAAAATAAGAATTTAATCAAGCGGAAAGTAAAATTTTGCATCATATGTGCACACATACGTTCACAAAAAACCAATATTAATAATTTCAACAACTCTGAAACATTGAAAACAGAATTTATGAAGGAATACAAGCCAAATGAAACAAAAAAAATTGCAAAAATGGACTTGACAATAATGAGTCTGATCAAATTTTAGTTTTAATTAATTTTTGTTTTCTTTTTCACTTTTTCAAGGTGAGGAGGATTTAAATTGGTGCTGAAACAAACTTAAATTTGATGTCTTCTGTTTTTAACTTGGAACCGTTTTTGTTCAGAGTCACTATGAGGTTGGGTCATTAAAAAAATTTCTTTTATGCTCCATGATTAGCCAGAAAGCTGTTATTATTCATGATGTTGGTGATAGAAAATGACACATCAATTCCTGTGTAATTTCTGTGAATGATTTAAACACACATGGATGATTTTCCTTTATGGATCCAGTTAGCCCTCAGGGTGGTAAATGATTGCTGACTCAAATTCTGTTTTAATAACTTAGTGTGTTGAATGGTAATGCCAAGCAGAATAAAACAAAAGGAGCAAGAAAGTGAAACTGCAGCGATTCATAGAGTTGAAAACTTCATTTTTCCCTCTTAACTTATATCCATTTTTGAGACAATTATCTCTGAAGTATATTGAACTCAGATAACTTTGCCCTGGCTAGAAATCACACTTGTTGACTACAGTGCTATTGTTACAACTGTTATACCAAGAAGGGCACTGATATCTGGGCACATTGAAACAAAAGAAGCTTACCTACATGAGGAATTTTGAAAAAATATATAGTGATAGCTAAATTCTGAAAATGTGAGATTCAACTCCTCTGTTCAAAAATCTCCGCTCCTTTTTCATTTTCTCTCAAGGAAAACTGGCAAAAATTGGGGTTTAAAATTTTTATCGAATTAATGTTACTAGCTAAAGAAAAATAAAAAAAATCCCATGAAATGATAATGAATTGTATTTATTTTAAAGAATAAAATACTAGAGGAAATTTGCACCTTTGCATTTTGAGATACGTGTTACTTGCGTTTAGCCATTGATAATCAGTAGTTGAGGGCTATCTGCACATGTCAGATGGAGACACGTACAGGATTAGTATATGAGTTTTAGAGTACAAGGAGCATGCAGAATCCACTCTAGACTCCATTAAAAGACTCAGCTGGTCGGGACGCTTCAAGTCTCCTGCTAGTTATTTTCTTCTGTATAATGCAATTCTGCTTGAAACTGCATTGCACCGAACAAGTGGATCACAATAAAAAAATAGGACTATTCTTTTATCTCTCCAAGTCATTTACTCTCACCGTTTAGTCCTCCATATATGACGTAGCTGGAGAATAAAGTTTAATATGTACCAACTTTAATCTTGAATTCCGATCTAACTCTTCAACAGATGTGCCCTTTTTTTGAAACTCCCAATATACAGAAACTTTCCTTGCTCATTATAATGTACCTGCACAAGGGAGCGTTATTATTTTTGGTCAATCCTGGATTGCTATTGAATGGTAGCAGCACAGTCCTGACAAACTGAGAGTAAATACTTGTCAACTTATCTAGCGCAAGCTCTAACAATAGAGACAGAGAATATTAGGAAAATCATTGAATAGAATTTTAGTTACCACTTCTGCTGAGTCTTCGCAAACTGAGCATGTTTTGCAGTTTGAGCATTGCCAATGGGATGTGTTCACTTTCCAAAAGGACCCGGGTGATTTTGTTTCTTCAAAACATTTTAGATGAACTAAAACATACAATAAGAAGATGTAGGCACATGTCAAGAATGAAAGCATCTAACTCGTTTAGAATGGTCAACAAGAAACCAAAAGAAGCCAGTAAAACAAGAGTTGAAATATGTACGATCATTCATAAAAATATTTAACTCATTGGTTTCTCTAATGAGTTCATCTCATCGAGATCTAATTAACTACACATCCAACATTTTTCAATGACCTTTAATGAGCATACAGGGTGTCCTGGATTGAAATGAGGACACTTCAGATCTTCAAATTTGTTGCCGTTTAACTCTTTCCTTCTTAGGACTGTTTCAAGGAGGATAAGAGATCTTTGAGTTTTGAAGGAAAAAAATTGAATTCTTTTTATCACAGTGACCAAGAAACAATCCCTAGAGTATCTGCATTTTAATTAGAGACAACCGGTATTCCTCAGAGCTCAGTCCTTCCCTCATGTTCAGGGACTGGTAGGGGCTACCTGGCCGCAAGTATCTAGCCTGGATATGGGATCCCGGCTACTAAACTATGCTCGAGGCTCCTGGATCTTGGGGCATGCGCATAGTATGCTATGCTGGTTGGTCGAAGGCTTTACTCCTCAGCATATCATTTTCAGCATACAGATCCAGAGATACTCAGGTCGTCAGCTAGACGGAGGCTCGACAGATCTCAGAATTAGCATAGTAGCTGGATCATGGAGCAGCCCTGGTGAGCTGGAAACACCAAAATTCAGCTTGAAGATCACCCTGGAAATCCTGTGCAGCAGCCAATAGAGACAATGCCTTTAATGTGAGCGCTTCAATGGAAGTTCCTCAAACTGTGGCAGCCAATCTCGGTGCACTCAGTAGCCGGCTAGTAGCTGATACGTAGTGGATATTAGCATTTCAGCATATCAATGTAGCAATCCACCCTCGTATGCTGGGATCCTTTGAAGCCAGGGATTCTAGTATACCTGGAAACCTGGCTATCAACATATGCTAGCATATCCGGCTACTTGGGCATCCAGCATCCCTACAAATGCGGCATCTGGACATATGCCGAGGGTCAACCACCCGATCAGTCCCTGCTCATGTTTCATCTAATAATTTTAATAATTAGCAATTTTTCTAACATATTTTCATGGTCGAACCAAGGCTTTTGTAGAACTACCTAAGAGTGTACGTTCAGGAATGCCCTTCATCTATGCAAGCTTTAGACGTCTTTCCCACTGCATGTTATTGTAGTCTATTTTACTGTGCTGAACGGCAGGGGACTAGGTAAGATTCCTTTTTGCATACGTTAAAACCTCAAGAGTACGAGAAATTTTTGACGATGTATTCCTAGTCTCGAGCAAAAGCAGGAAGACCACAAAAAAGAGTTTTCAAAATGAAACGCTGGATTGGATACTTGTATAAATAGCAGGTTATTTACAAAATCCCTGATGATTTAATATGAAGAGCAAAATAAAGGAGGGTCAAAACTCCACAATGAAAATAAAACAAAATTAGCAAACCTTTTGTTATACAGTCGGTGCAAGAGATGAATGAATCTAGAGAGCCGTTAACCTCCTTTTCGGTACAATCACAAATACTGCAAACTGGTTGGAAAATTGATGTGGAATGGTTGACATCCGATTTCTTCACCTTTTCAATTGAATCGCAGGAATTTTTCCGTGGTTGTTTATTGGGAGAGTTGTTTTTGCTTCCAGGAGGTGAGCTTTTTACAGCCGAAGGAGGTTTACCCTTTTTACACCGTTTCACTTTGGGTAGATTATTATCCGATGGATCAAAAACGACTTTTTTTGAACGCTGAGAAAGACAAAAAATCAAAACAAGAATGATGGGCTCAGTAAATTAAAATTCAAATAATGAACCAATTTAAAAATCACTGAGCAGAGCGCTTCAGAATTTCAGATGAGAATTTCAGAGATCAATAATGAGAGTCATCTTTTGAGCCAGGTAAGTACCTAATGACCTCTTAAACTGTTTTTAAGATGCCTTTCCAGCACTGGCGCCCCTAAAATACAAGATTGAATTATCTATTTTTTTTAGAATACCATTCTCAGCATCTCGGACATGGTATTGCCAACTATCACCTTTTCCTTAATTTCGTTATTTTTTCCCCCGCCGTTTAAAAATGTTTTTGTTGCTGGGTTACCCCTTCCCCATCCCTCCGAGTATGAGCTTTTTGGTTGTCCTCAGTGCTCAAGTTTTGTTTTCATTACTATGTTTACTTTTAAATGAATAAATTCTAATTCTATATTAAGTGTACTGCCGTGCTAAGGAAGAACGCCGTATAAACATTTGAGAGTTGCCAAATTTCCTTCAATAAAATTTTTATTTTGGAGGAAAGTTATGAGTATTTTTCCTTGAAATTTTTAGAATCTTCAGGTAAAATTGCTAATTAAATTCTCTGAAAAATCGGAAGTAAACATATTCATAAGTTTACCAGGAAATTCGTGTTTTATCAAGGGAAATTTGGCAATGCCTGCGGGTCCATATGGCGTTTTTTCTCAGTACGGCAGTGTACTCTTGTTGCAAGTTGTTAGGTGTATTTTCATGATGACTGCAAGATGTCTGTGCACACCCTCAACTATGATCATACTTAATCGGCTGCGATGGGGATTACAGAGTTCATCAAAAGATTTCAAATTTATCAGTATCATTCGATCATAAATTAAGGAACATTAGTTTGGCCAAGGCCCTGTGAATTGCAAGTGGTATTTTTTTTTTTTTTTTTTTTTTTTTTACTACTTCAAATAGCCCACAAAGGCTAATCCCACGCTTTAAGTCCCATCCCCCCTCCGTCCCTACTGAACCAGCCCCAGGCAACCATTGTTTGAGACCATCAAACTCGGGTCGCCTGGCCGGGAATCGAACCCGGGAACTCCCGATTATAGAGCAAGCGCTACAACCACTACACCATAGGAGGCCGACATATTCTTTTTAAATACACAACTTGTAATGTACAGTACTTCGGACACACCAGAAGTCACTGGGAACGGCGAGATGCTTGTGCTGACTTTCACAGATACCTACCACTGCAGGACTGGAACTAAGACCTGCAGGCTGATGGTTGAAACTATATCAGCACGACATGACAAGATAATCATCAAGACATCTTTACCGCGCAATATGTTGCATTTCAATATCTTATTAGGCTGATTTAAACTTTCAATAATCCGCCTGCTGTGAGGATACCAAAGCAAACTTGCCATGTGTTTCAACAGATAATTTAAATGAACAAAATAAATTACCTTTCGCCTCCCATTTAGGTTCAAGTCCACAAGATCCACTCTCTTAGATGTGGAGACTTCCTCCTTTGCTTCTGTTTCTTCTGTCTTCGGACAAGTGAGATCATCTTCCACATTCTCTTCTTCATCTTCAACCAAGTTAACAGGAGTTGGGATACTTGGAGGCTCTGCCTTGAAGCGTGGTAAAGGTGGTAATGAAGCTTCGTCATCAAACACCATCTCACTTGGTGTTTCAGCCTCATGTTCTTTTGATTTGGTTCCTTTCGATACTTTGTTGGCTGTTTCATTTCCTAACAAGTTTTCATTGGCTGAAACGGGGCCATCATTTTTCTGTTTCTCTACACTTGGAGCTGCCAGGAGAGGCTCTTGTTTTTTCTTATGCTTGTCTTTGACTGTGACACCATCATTTTTCTGTTCCTCTGTACTTGTTGCTGCCAGAACAGGCTCTTGTTTTTTCTTATGCTTGTCTTTCACTGTGGCACCATCATTTTTCTGTTCCTCTACACTTGTTGCTGCCAGAACAGGCTCTTGTTTTTTCTTATGCTTTTCTTTGACTGTGGCACCATCACCTTCATGTTTTATCTCGGCTTTTTGCTTTCTCTTTCTCCGTTTTCTAACAAGAAGGCTTTCTCGGATGTTCTTGACCATATCATTCATGTCCGGATTAGATGAACTACAGTCGCCAAGTGAAAGATCACTAGAAGATGACGCATCCATTGAAGTGAGAAGTTCCTGTGAGAGACCAGCTCCATCTGCAGGAGCATTGTGTTTACCGACAGCATCCATATCACCAACAAAATAATTACCATTAGGTAGTTTCACTAAACTACCACCCTCTATCTCATTTTCTAGAATGTAATTGAAGTAAGACTTGGTAAAGCGTTTATCTTTACGGGCAACGTACTTGCCCAGGACATCGTAGGGTACCCCCCCATCGAGGTAAGCGGGTTCTAGTAAAATTAATTCGGCTACAGTCCTGCAGACAAGAACGGTAACATACTCATGCTCCTGCTTACTTTTGTAATCAGCTATCTGAGACCATTTGGCAGCATTGCGGTAACTAGTACATCCCTTGTAATCAACCTTTACAACGATTTCATCTTCGACTAGTTTTTCAAGAACAGCGGCAGTGTCTTTGCAACTTGCTGAGTATCGGCGGAAAACATAATTGGTAATCCGGTTCAAATCTGGTCGCGATTTTCGACGACGGAGCTGGTCAATTGCTTCTAAGATATACTCTTGTCGCACTTGAGGCATGGTCGTTCCAAATGATAAATTGACAACAAAATCACAAATCAACAGCGAAAAAACGCCCGTAAAGGAAAGTTGGGCAATACTGGTGCCGAGTAAAATCCAATTTCTTTCAAATTCACTCACGTATTATTATTTCAATAGACACAAATAACTGCAGGGTACTTAATCAATTGAGATTTTATACACAATTACACACAAGGAAAAGTACAAGAACCTAAAAAAGACAAAAATTGTAGCAACCTTCCGTCATTCGCACGCAGCGGCATGGTTCAAAACTTGACAGTGCTGCCAGTTTGAACTTTTTTTGCTGAAAGAAGGTTTACCCAATCTAACATACTACGTTTTTTAATTGACAAAGCGGCAATGTTTTTTTAACAAGAATGTTAAATAAAGATGGGTAACATTTTGTCAATGGCCATTTGCCTACGTCAGAGAAATTTTTATTTTGCGGTCTTGTTTACATTTATGACGTCACTGACAGACTTGAGAGACTAATTTTTATCATCATATTTTTCAATTTTTATCATTCCACCACTCGTCACTCGTAATCTACTCCACATCACATCATATTTTATTTGTCACTCTTTTCCGCCTTTCGCGTCCCTCCTTGTATTAATTTACCATGTCCCCCGCTCTAATTATCGTCGCTGTTGGTTATCTCCTCATTCATTGTTATCTATTTTTCGTGTTCCATTGAAAGTTTAGTGTCTTGTTCTTCGACTTCTCTGGTGATTTTTCGCGAGTGTCAACGGGCCGGAGAGTCTGAAAACGTACCAGTCTAAGCAAAATCTGACCATTATCGTTATTCGATCCAAAATTCAATAGCGTGAATTAACTTGCCAAACGTTTTTCCTTACGCGTGCTCTCCCTGGCGCATTTCAAACATCAGCTACCCCTTCAGATCCTTTCGAGGCACACTTCAAGGTTCAGTAATGAAAGCTGCAGAACTTAACTCGTAAGTACTCTTACATACTTAGTATCTAAATTGTTTTCTTGTAGAGGTATCTTGCTTACACCCAGAATATCCACCCCTCTTATCAAAGGGCTAATCAGTAGTGTTTGTGGTGGCGAGCCCTGACGCTCTAACTGCCAGCCCCAGCAAAGCAATACAGGGTGACTCAGAATTAAGGGTAATGATCTTAGGAGTCAGTTCTTTGAGTCCTCAGAAGTTTTTTTATGGAACTAATGGTATTTAGGATCTTCCAATAATATATCCCAGAAACCTCCTAAAACCCAGTCATGCAAACTCATGGCAGCAAGTTTCATCGCTTCGTGGATGGTTTACTTGGACTGTGGACTATGAGCCAGAACCAAGCCGAAAGCGGATCCCTCGTATAATGCACTCGTCTGAAATGCTGAGAACTGCAAGAGGGGACTAGTGTTTAAATTTGAAAATGGCAGGACAGAATGCCTAGGCAATGACCACCTATGTGCTTTGAAAAGTGGCTGTTCACCATAAATTGCTGGTTGATCATAGTCAAGTTTTCCAGTTTTGCGAGACAGTGCTGCCTTGCTAATACTGCAGAAGTGATGTAACAATCTAATGACCTGCAGTGATGGCCATTGGCCAGTGACAGCACACTCATGGCTGTTTTAACGAGCGCTTATGACAAATTTCAGGTGAAATTTGCTGAATTAATCAAAATTTAAGGATAATTCCTTGTCATCAGCTAAGTCATGAGCTGGGATGATATGGTGGTAGAATTGCCGAGTCCGTGAACTGGGCTGTCAGCTCACTGACTGGCCAGTCTCAAGTCTGAAAATTAAGGCAACATGCTGATCCTAAATTTTAGCTGCAATCCATACACTAACAGAATATTCCCCATTGACCAATTTCTTATGAACATTGCTCAAGATTTTAAACGAAATTCCAAAGTATCAAAGTAAAATCAATTTGATTTTAAAAATTTACAAGTTTTGTGAATCAAGTGTACAATTAATTTTTTCTCAAATTATTTTAGGGTGTTTGAACATAAATTTACGAGTTTTTTTTGCAAACCCGGTAACCGAGTGAACAAAATGAAAAAATGGAAATTTGTTCTATCAAAGGAGAGAGAAATGAAACTTACAGATAAAGGACAAATCTCGGCAAAAATGTACATAAAATTCTTGTCCAGAAATTATTTTTAAAGTGGGAAATCAGTAAATCAATGAAAGCTTGAACTTTGTTGATCAATCAGAGAGCGGCTCATTTTTTGTAGGAAATGGAGTAAGATAGCAGTACCTAATTCTCTTTAAAGGCACTCCGTCATTTGGATCCTATAACTAACAACAACTCCCATGCATTTATTATTCTGAAGCGGTAGGAAAAATGAAAGTGCCTTCAATTTTAAACATGCAACACGCACATCCGTGGAACGCAAATAGTTGCATCAAGGCTCCACAACCAACTCACAATCAGTGTCAGCATAGTATTCGTAGGTCGAGGTGAACTGATTTGAGTCACTCATTCTGAAGAAGACTTAAGCGCCGAAAACAATAATAAGACGAGAAAGACAGTAAAAAACGTTTTAATTGACCCCTTCTAAATTTCAAAGCTCAGAAATATAAAAGCGAGGCATGAACCAATCTCATTTCAATAAAAATTTATGAGTTTTAAGGGGTCGATTGTTATTTTTTCTCATATTTTTCTCATGCTATCATTTCTGGCTTTTATGTTTTTTTAAGAATGACCGATTCAATGATTGGCCTCAGATATAGTCTGGCCTCCCGTCGCTAATTGGTAATACTTTCTGTATATATAGGCTATCAACACTCTGTCATTTGAGTGCTACAACTGAAGAGTCCTGTACATATCTAAAGAAGTGAGAAAAGCGAAAGTGCCTTCAAATTTGAACACGCAACACGCACACTCGTGAACCACGAATAGTTGCATCAAGGCGCGACAACCATAACTTAAAATCAGCGTAGTATTGTTGACTATACAAATTAACGGACAAAGCTATCTATACTATAAGCTCCAAGACCTCCTAATTTTGCGAAACTGGTAACGCTTAGTTCCAGCGTTCATACCGGGCCGATTTTCATGATTTTTGCGGCGATCGACGGGCAATTGTCTCTAGATAAGCCAACTCTTTCCAGATTTTCAAAATATGGCCCAGATTTTTTTATATTACGTGGTAAAGTTGCGAATTCTTCCATTTAAACAATGTAAATTTATACTTTTTGTCATAGTTCGTTTGAGCGTTCTACCGGGCCGATTTCCATGATTTTTGCGTAAATCGACAGGTAATAGGCCCTAGATGAGCCCGCTGTAATCAGATTTTGGAAAAAAGACCCAGGTTTTTTTAAAATCGCGTTATAAAAGTGAGTGAGTTTATAGAATGATCCGGTACTGCTACCGCTATGCGCGGGAGGATGCGCAGTGGTCGAGGAGGTTGCGCAGTAGCTGTGTAGCCTGCGCATCAGCTCTACACTTATCTACACAAGATTCGCGTTAAGTCCCTCACGACGAGCGGTGACCGAGTCGTCTAAGACGTCGAATGCGTCCACTTTGGGTTCGATTCCCGACTTTTGATGTACTTAATTATTACCTGATGGATTATCATTGTTCGTTGTTTTACTGCAATACTTCATCAAGCAGTCATTCTAAAACGCTTTCTTTTGACTTCAAAAAATTATTTTTTTCTTTATTCATCAAAACCAAAAATTATTTCATTCTACAAGTAAAGTATACATCATATCGTAATTTTTTAGGGGGAAAATAAACCTAACACTGATAGGAGGGTAAAAATAGGGCCGCGAAGCGGCCCATTGATGGCGCGGAGCGCCTTCAGGGGGTTGGGCCGCGTAGCGGCCAGGGGGCGTAGCCCCCTAGTTGACTATGAGGACAAAGGGAATATGGAGCTATCCTCTTGGTTCCAAAGAATTGTTTTTACAGACTAACTCTAGGTTTTCTCGGGTCTCTGTTACGTCTGGTGTGGGTCTCAGCTATATCCTCTTGGTTCCAAAGAATCGTTTTTACAGACTAACTCTAGGTTTTCTCGTGGGTCTCTGTTACGTCTGGTGTGGGTCTCGTGGGTCTATTACTTATCTCATTTCTTCATTGAGACCACGCGCTTTCACCAACAATGTCGTTACATTTTTTCTTTGTCCATCGCTTTATCTATCGATTTTATTTATCAACCCGCTGATGTCATTGATGGACGACTCTTTGGTTTGAATTAAGGTGATTCGTCTAGCTCAAAAGAAGTGGTCGAATTGGCATGCGATTTATCGCATCGATTAGGTCCAAAATCTCGGCAGATTTTGAAATTTTAGCAAAAAAAAGGACGATAGCCCCTGCGCATAAGCCTAAAGAATCGTTCTAACTCCAAAAATCGGCAAAATTTAGAGAAATGAAAGCAGAGTAGTGTTAGGAAAAAACCTCGCATTCGATACAGAAATCGATAGCTGAATCGAACGCGAGGTTTTTTTCCTAACACAATTCTGCTTGAATTTCTCTGAATTTTGCCGATTTCTGGGTTTAGAATGATTCTATAGGCTTATGCAGGGCCGGATTAAGGGGGTGGCCACATGGGCCCATGGCGGCAAATTTTGCGAATTTTTAAATGCAGGTACAAAAAAATCGGATTCAGAAAAAATTACAAACAAGAAAAGGTGACAAAATCTCTCATTCCCTGAGAGTCATTAATTTCTAATTTTGTCGTATTTCGGTGAAAAACTGCGCACCTTTAATTAGTTGAGTTAAGAGAGAAACTAAACACGTAATTTGGCCCGGAGCGGCGCGGCGCAAAGAGAAATGATGACGAGGACTTGAGATGAAAACGAGAAGCCCTCGACGCGGCGCGGCGGTCGGCATGTAACACATATTAGCGCCTACGAGACTACATGAATACTTCACGCATTGCGCCAAACACAGTGTGGTCAGCGCGGCACGGCGGCGGAAGTTACAATTATTAAACCACATTTATGTTTGTTCTTTCTTAATTTTTTAGTTCATTTCGCACAAATGAAAGGCCTTGTCCTTACAGAGATAGATTTACGGAACTGAACTTTCGCGCGAAGTTCTGTGAACTTTTGCTCGTAGTGTTGACAGGGCTTACGCAAAAAATGTGTTCAACACTTGTGAATGCGTCGTATGCACCCTTCTCCCTCCGGCACGTTCACTTGATGGTTTTTATTGATGTTTCAAAATGAATGAGAAGAGGGCGGCAAAATACAGGCGGCCCGTGGGCGGCAAGTAGGTAAATCCGGCCCATGGGCGGCAAGTGGCGGCAAGTAGGTAAATCCGGCCATGGGCTTATGCGCAGGGGCTATCGTCCTTGTTTTGCTAAAAATTCAAAATCTGCCGAGATTTTTTACCTAATCGATGCCATATATCGCATGCCAGTTCTACCTTTTCTTTTGAGCCAGACGAATCACCTTCCTTAAATTCTCTATTTTCAATATAAAACATGGACGATCATCGCTAGGTAAGAAGTAGGTTATTTCGTGAAACTTGACAGCAATGTCATTCAGTTAAGCTCCTGTGGCATTGACCGCTCCAATTTTAAGAGAATGGTACTTTTAATCATGTAACGCTGCAAATTATTGTCTAAGCAGCAAAATACGCAGACACGTGTTCGGTGTTTTCATCGAGCTGAAGAAGGGAACTCAATTCAATTCATGCGGAATGCAGATATTTCGTCGCTTTTCTGACGCAATGACCCATCTCGATTTTGACGTGAACCTTGTTTCACGTATAAGTCCATGCCTTCTGGGGCCCACCGCGGAAATCAAGATACGCCCTTACGTCAGAAGAGCGAAGAATTGCCTGACAGTCTGACTCGGAGCTCAGCTAATATTTCGCTGTGTGCACTTTAAGTCTTTGTAAAGGTGTAGGAGGTGCGCCATTCGAAAGGCACAGAAATTTGAACTGATTTCTACCAAAAATTTAAAGTCTGACGATTTTTTTCCTGACCAACTTCTGGATTCTTAAAACTTTATAGAATAACCTTGATCGACAGACAGCATTGCTAATGAATGTACTTATCGATCAATATCGATATCATCGATCGATTCGCAGAAGTCGCACCTCGCGTCGCTTGGGTAAAAACTTCCCTAGTGAAGAGTCTACAACCCAAGTAGCAGAGTGCAATGAGACTATTGACATCAAATCGCGATTTAATACTTCAAAATTGCAATTTTTTACCATCGAATTGAAAAATTCTCACAACTATTGATAAAACAAAAATTAAGATTGTAAATAATTATTAAGACGATGCTTTACGCATCATAAAGACAGGCAACTCGCGATACAAAGCAAAATCGCAGCTTATTTAAATTTTATCTTTCGCTTTAATATATAATACATCGACGGTGTAGGTCCGCAACCACGGTGGCCATAATTGACCTTTGTTTTTTCCACCCCCCCCCTACCAATTTTTAAGGCAAATCAAATTTCCAAAAAATAGGAGAAAGCTAAGTAAGAAATGGATTTTTTAGCTTCCGCATAATGCGTCTTTTTGTCGAATAATTTGTAGGAATGTGTCTTTTTGTCGAATAATTTGTAGGTAATGGAAAAACGGGAACATCATTTTCGGCTTTAGTAGAAAATATTAAAAGCAAAGTGACCTGTTAGGTACCTGAATAAAAAGAATTATCGTATTTTCCTCAAAAAATACACCAAACATGATCTAATCAGACTTTTTACCTGTTTCAGCTCTGTGGACCCTCCGAAGCAGCCTCCGGCAAAATTTTCGTAAGTATCAAATTTATTTTTTGCCAAATTCATTACTTATTCTCTCCAAATAAGGAAGGCTAATTTTTCTGAAGCCCTGGGTATCTGAAATTTAAATTTTTGTATCTACCTACCATAATCGGGAAATGAGTCTCCACGCAGATCACATATGGACCATTTTTTTTAAGCACCTAAGGTTGATCAATTCACGGTTCTCCTTTAGCAACCCTATCATTGGATCTTCGCAGTTTGCACTTAGACAGTCCTCCTCAACCTCATCATATGCATCGTAATGTATCGTGAAAAATAGAAAAATGTAACCTACTTGAAAAATTAAAAATCGTAACTTAATTTCAAAGTATCGCAATTTTTCCGTTGAAAAATGCTCCGTGGTCAGACACATGTGGTGAGATGCCGCATTTTTGGAGGGTATGGATTCGATCGACATGGGTCGATCGACAAATTATCAAAAAAACCGGTGTCGATTCGATCGACATGAATCGATCGATAAATGAAAACGTGAATCGATCGACATGAATTAATCGTCACCGATTCGATCAAAAGTTAATTTAAAGACACCCGTGTCGATTGGATCGACATGGGTGGATCGAAATATAAAAAAGTGAGTCGATCGACGTGAATCAATCGACACCGATTCCGTCGACAAAATTCGATCGATTCACGGGCTTGTCGATCGAGTCACTCATTTGTCAATCGATTCACGGCTTTTTTCGATCCACTCACGGCACGGGTTTGTCGATCCATTCACAGGTTTGTCGATCGACTCACGGCTTTTGTCCATCGATTCACGGGTTTGTCGATCGATTCCCAGGTTTGTCAATCGATTCACGGTTGTCGATTGAATCGGTGTCGATCGATTCACGTATATCGATTCGCGTTTTCATTTTTCAATCCATTCATGTCGATCGAATCGACACCGGTTTTTTAATAATCTGTCGATCGATTTACGTTTTCATTTTTCGATCGCATTTTCATTTTTCTATCCATTCATGTCGATCGAATCGACACCGGTTCTTTTAATAATTTGTCGATCGATTTACATTTTCATTTTTCGATCGCGTTTTCATTTTTCTATCCATTCATGTCGATCGAATCGACACCGGTTTTTTTAATAATTTGTCGATCGATTTACGCTTTCATTTTTCGATCGCGTTTTCATTTTTCTATCCATTCATGTCGATCGAATCGACACCGATTTTTTTAATAATTTGTCGATCGATTTACGTTTTCATTTTTCGATCGATTCATGTTGATCGAATCCATACCCTCCGCAGTTTCCCCCCAGTCTATAAAAAAAAATCCAGTCTATAAATTATAGTGGTCAATTCGGATAAGAAAGGTGAAAGGATCGGCACCCGCAATGCAATCTTGTAATTAAGAGCTTCCACTGGCCGAGTGCCCATCCCCCCGGGGGGCACCTTCTCTTCGCGTCTTCCAATTTTCAGCTAAGTATGCACTTTCCGCCCGCGCTCGTGCAGAATAACCCACGAGCCCATTTCCGAATTCCACCTCCTCGATCATGAGCCTCGTAACGGAGTCTGTGCAGCGTGGCATAGCCTTGACAATACCACGTGCCATTTTCTGTGTCGCACTCAGCGTCTTGTCGCCTGTTACACTTTCGTCGTTATCAATCCCGTTATCAGTGACCCCTCTCAATTGATTCGCAATCTACATAAGAGCCATTCATAATTATGCTAATTTGTACAGCTTCTTTATTTTACATTGTTGCGCACGGAGAGTTAAAACTTGAAAGCGGAAAATGAGTTTTCTAGATCGCAGCGTTCACGAATCCCCGATTATGCTCGCGATTTTTCTCCAAGAGGAATCATCAGAATGTCTCCTACCAATCCAACACTCCCCGACGTAATGTCACCAGACGGTCCCGGGGTCCCCTCCTCCGGACCCTCATAAATTTTAAGCAATAATTTCTTTCGGCAATCTTGTATCTTTGTACATTTTATTTATGACTTATAATAATTTTAAACCTAACCTGGGCGATAGTCATATCTACAGATATTTCCGTCCCTTTCAACACTATATGTAAATTATCTCTATTTCTTTTTTGTAACTAATTTCTATCTTTTGTCTCATATTAATTACTATAAGAACTCATATTATGTAAATTGTTGAATAAAGTTAGAAAGGGAATGTCCTGGATAAAAAAAAAAAACAAAAGAACGTCTCCTCGGAATTTTTCGCGATTTGTGTGGAAAATTCCCCATAAATCTCGGTACAAAAAGTTAGTTAAATTTTCCCAATATTGCCAATTTGGAAGTTTTGCTACACAGTCTGGCCAATATTCTGCCTCTCCATACGAATTCAACATGAATATTGAGAGAATCAAACCCTGAGACCTATGAAATAATCAAAAACCATATTGAGATTAACCGAATAGTTGTGTAATTTTCCGGACCATCGAAATTTGGTAATAGGCCTAAACATCCGTTCACCTCCTCACCCCCTCAAGAAAAAAAGAAAAAAAGAAGGGAAAAAAAAAAAAAAAAATCGCTCTCGGGTTGCGCTGCGAACGGTGCGTATAGAGAGCTGCTTCATCGCTACCGCTTAGGGATGTCGATACTTATCCGATACTTGCAAAGTATCGATACTTTCGATCGATACTTAACGATACTCTGCATCGATACTCCACGATATCGATACCATGCAGTATCGATGCCAAGACCCCAGTATCGACGGTATCGATACTTAATCTGATTTGGCCATGAAGAGGGCCTCTTTTTCTTTTTTAAAAAATTCTCTCCCCGCTATTTCATCTTCATGATGCACTGTGACAAACGACGGAGTAATCAAGTTTCTCAAGATGATTGTACTTCAATAAAAATGGTAAAAGCTCAGTTCGATAACTGTAGTTAAGGGCTCAAAATAGTTGACTAAGGACGCGAACAGGGCTTTTTAGAGAGAGGCGTAAATCTGGCGGAATTTAACGGCCGACAGACAAATGCACACTCAGAAATCACGGCATAATTCAGAAATAGTATCGATGGTATCGATACCTCATAAGTATCGATACTTCAGCTCGATGATCGATACCGGTATCGATGCTTAGAGTCGATACCAGTATCGATGCCGAGTATCGATACTTCCCTGAGTATCGACATCCCTACAGTACCGCTACTTCCCGATTGCGAGTTCAATCTGTCAAATTTTTTAGGCGCCATGATGGCCCAGCCCCCAAATTTTTAGGCGCGAAGGCCCGATTTTTAGGCGCATTTGGCGCCCGGGGAAGGCAGAAAACTGGCCTGAGGATGTTAACATATAGTAGGAAGCCATCCATATGCATAGTTAACAAATCAATCACAAGATAAAATCCAACAATGGAAGCACTATGATAAATATAATGTGCCGATTTTCCGAAATATTCTCAGAATGTACTATATAATTTATGTCACAGGTTAGTTCCGAAGATTGTTAATGGAGGAATAGCCGGGATTATTGGTGTCACTGTTGTTTTTCCTCTGGATCTGGTCAAAACAAGATTACAAAACCAGCAAACCGGCCCAAATGGAGAAAAAATGTATTCTTCCATGTAAGTATGCGAATCCCAATTTCTGCTGTATGTACTTGCAACTGTTCATGGGAAAAAGAGACCTTTGAATTGTAAAACCAAGGCTAATAGTATTGTTGCCACCGCTTTAAGGAGTATTAAATGAAACTTCTAGCCCAAGAGCATTCAAAAATGTCAAATTAAACCAGCAATGATGGCTCAAATTTTGCAATGGAAAAATCTTCGTTTTAAGAACTACTCATGCCATCCTAAAAAGTTTTATTCTTTGTACTGAGCGAGACCCTTCTTCTTGTGAACGATCCCATTTGTTTGGTGATAAAATGACTGGAAGCCAGGCAAATAAATAAAATATTGCCTCTATTTTTGCCTTATTTACGATTATAACTATAGTTATTAGAATACTGTGTCGATGTCTTTAATTGCATGTGCTAGGCATTATAGGCATATGCTAGGCATTGAGTAGAGCCCACAACGAGCGAATTATTGCTTGTAAATTTTTTTTTCCTACTACGAAGAGTCATTGAAGATTTAAAACACCGTGAAAAATTTTTCATACCATGACTATGAAGTACTGCTGAACTTGTTTTTCCTCCCCTTGAATTGCTGTAGCATATCTATTGCCTCTCTTTTTTTTTAATTTATTTTATTTTTTTTAATTTTATTGGTTAATTGATCTTCTATACAGAAATTACAATTTTTTCTTTATTTAAAATATACATAAACATTGGTTATTATGATATATAAAGTGAGGAATTATCTCGTTAATAACTTTGAATAGTTCTAAAAGAAAACTTTCATTGAAATCTCAGTAGCCTGTAGAACGTAATTGGTCCTAAGTAGTAATTAGTGCATTCAGGGCCGGATTTAGGGGGTGGCCACATGGGCCGCGGCCCATGGCGGCGAATTTTGCAATTTTTTTAATGCAGGTTTTTTAAAAAAAAAATCCGATTCAGAAAAAAAATTACAAACGAGAAAATGCGACAAAATCTCTTAATTTCCAGAGAGTACAATAATTTCTAATTTTATCGTCTTCCGTTGATACAAGAGGCAGCACCTTTAATTAGTCGAGTCAAGAGAGAAACCGAACACGCAATTCGGCCTGGAGCGGCGCGGCGCAGAGAGGAATGATGACGAGGACTTGAGATGAAAAGGAGAAACCCTGGGTGTGGCGGTCGGCATGTAACACATATTAGCGCCTACAAGACTGTGTGAACACCTCACGCATTGCGCCAAACACAGTGCGGTCAACGCGGCGCGGTGGCGGAAGTTAAACTTATTAAACCACTTTTATGTTCGTCCTTTCATAATTTTGTCGTTCATTTCGTATAAATGGAAGGCCTTGTCCACACAGAGATGGGTTTACGGAACTGAACTTTCGCGCAAAGTTCCGTGAACTTTTGCTAGTATCGTTGACAGGGCTTTCGCAAAAAATGTGTCCAACACGAGTAAACGCGTCTTATTCGCCCCTCCCCTGCGGCACGCACATTCGATGGCTTTTATTGATGTTTCAAAACGAATGAAAAGGGGGCGGCAAAATACAGGCGGCCCATGGGCGTCAAGTTGGTAAATCCGCCCCTGAGTGCATTTTCCCTTAAACATCTAAGATTTTTAATGTTTGATCATTTTCTCTTACAGGTTGGATTGCTTCCGCAAAACGTACAAAGCTGAAGGATACTTTGGAATGTACAGAGGTAACTTTTATGTTGTTCCATTCTCTTGTAAATAATGAAAAATTCCATCAAATTTATGTGCTTGGCCAATGGCCATTCAGCAAGGTGGCTTTGGAGGAACAGAATAATTTTTGTACGTGTGATGAAGACTCCCTTCCCAAGAACAAGTTGAAAAGTCAACTCTTAATTTTACCTCAACTAACAGGAATTGATCCACAGTGGAACTTGTAAACCATAAATCGATGGTGAAAGTGCAGAAGTGCGTTTCTCGGGAAATACGATTTTCCAGAAGTGTAAAAAAACTGTCTACATTCCTCCTTATCGTCAGTAGAAGGGTAATAATTCTCAAAGATACAAAGAATAACATGCTTTTTCAGACACAATCAGCATTTTGAATGATTTCTCGAGCTGTTGAAAAAGTACGGCAGAAATTCCGAGATTCACGTTTTCGGCACTAAGAATTGACAATATCATGAGATACGAATTTTTGCACTTAGTGTTTTAAGCCTGTTGGTGGCGGATTTTCATAATTTTTAAACTGCAAAAAGAGTTTCACGCTTATAATTCCTTATCAGAAGTTTTAGATCGATCTCATACGACCGGATCAAGCATTATATGATTGAAAAATGAATTTGATCATGAGATACGAATTTCTGCAAGTAGCGTTTTGAACCTGCTCTTGATCATTAAGATCAATGAAAAATGAATTTAATCACTAGGTACGAATATTTGCAAGTAGCGTTTTGAACCTGCTCTTGATCATTAAGATCAAAAATAGAGTTTGTTCCTGCTTTAAACTTGTTTAAAAGCTTGATCCAATGCAGTAGATGAAGCAATGTATGACTCGATTGACTCTATTACAACTGACCGTTGGGATGAACTGTCAGTTCATAATTGCATTGACCCAAAGAGTGAACGCCGCTAGTAATAGGTACCTATAAAGAAAAAAATACTTCTCCTGGTTAATTTGCATTCAATTTTAATTTTAATTTGAAAATCCCAATTCATTATTTCTCAATTTGGAGTGAAAGCAAGTACATTTAGAACGTATTTAGTTCTTATTGTTGAGCTGTTTTCTTCTATCCTTTTTATCACTGGTCATAGTGTATGTTTTATCATTCTTAATTTTTTTTTTTTAGGTTCAGGCGTCAACATACTGCTCATAACACCGGAGAAAGCCATCAAATTAGCTGCAAATGATTTTTTCCGACATCAATTATCGCCTGGCCCAGGGTAAGTGTCCTATTAATTTTCCATTTTTGCCTCATTCCTTTGGAAAGACTGTCACATTTATATATTTAACATTACACCACCGGAAAAGTTTAGAACGGATAATCCTGATTTCAACTCCATCTGTGGTAATTGACATGTGCATCTTAAATGAATTAGAATTATAGATTGAGATTTTAATGAAGCAGAACTTTTGGCTTCTTGAATCAGCTTTTTATTTATAACTAATCAGTCCTTATTGCTGCAGCTGCAAGTAACTCAAAAGGCTCTCATAATTATAACCATAACCCTGGAAACTTGTTTACAGGGTTGTAGTTGGATGAGAAACTTGAACTTAAAGTAGTAAAAGCAAATTTTGAAAGATGTAACATAGATTTTTTTCAGCACCTCTAGAAGGTATTCAAAGGCAAGTTTCTATGATTTTGTTCAGTGTTCTGCCTTCCCCGGGCGCCATGCGCCAATTGCACCTAAAAATCGGACCTTGGCGCCTTAAAATTGGGGGAGCTGGGCCATCGTGGCGTCCAAAAAATTTGGCAGATTGAACTCCCATCCGGGAAGCAGCGGTAGCAATGAAGCGCTCTCTATACGCACCGTTGGTAGCATCGCCATGGCCCGTATGCATAAATTTAATTTGGCTCCTAAAAAATAGTAGATGGCTCCTAAAATTTTAGGGGGAAGACAGAACACTGATTTTGTTTGATATTAGACGAATGACTCTACCTGTTTTTCATCCGATCCTCATAGAACATTTAGTAACTTCCTCAATCAATGAAATAATAAGGGCATCACAAGGTACTGTTTATATTTTAATTTTGAAAACCAGCTCTGTACACTTAATTTTGTTTGTTTCTCAGAAAAGCTTTACCTCTAGAACGTGAAATGATGGCTGGAGCAGGGGCAGGATTCTGTCAAATTGTGATCACAACACCAATGGAGTTGTTGAAAATCCAAATGCAAGACGCCGGGCGTGTCGCTGCAGCAGCAAAAGCAGCTGGTAAAACAGTTCCAAAAATTTCAGCGACATCTCTCACATTAGAATTACTGAAAACAAAAGGAATTCTGGGACTTTATCGTGGCACCACTGCTACGATGTTGAGAGACGTATCCTTTTCTGTGGTCTACTTCCCCTTGTTTGCCAGACTGAATGCCCTAGGACCGCGAAAGAGTGATGGATCAGGTAATTTTTTTAGGTATCTTATTCAAGGTCATGCAACTGATATAAGATATTGAGATTTCAGGTTCATATTAGACATAGTGCATCCTAGTGTATCAGTTTGCAAGTTGCTGTCATCTTTCAAATATTGTCCCTGCCAATGAGACTTCTCTGAACTGTTTCTGTTAGCCAAGAAAACACATAAAAATAGGTGATATGCAAAAATTTTAAATTGCAAACCGCTATTATTGCTAATTTCTGCGACACCACCTGTACTTCTCAGTTGCATGAGTAACAAGAATTCAAAATCAGTTCAATAGTAGTTCAGCTGGTAGGAAGCTCATAGCGTAACAACTCTAAGAAATTAGTAACCCCAGATGGGGGTGGATGCAGAGAATGTCCTATCTGGCGATGTAAGGATCGCGGCAAATGGAAGGCTTTTTCAAAAGTGAAGATCCCTTTTTTTCCAATTTTTTTTGCTGTAAAATCACACGCTTAGCTGTGACGCAAATTAGGAAGGTGCCATGAGGCGAAAACGCAGGACGGTGGGGACGGTCGGCGTTTTGGAACTTTCTGCACCCTTGTAATGTAAAACGTTGAATGTCATACTTGTCAGTATACTGTACCAAAATAAAAAGAAATGTGTTTGCTCAAATTTTCTCTTCACAAGCTGATAATGTACCAATAAACTCTTGATCACATGCAGTCATTAAAATCTTCTTTGGTGGACAACAAGTTCATTGAGGGTCTATGCTATCAGTCATTTTTACAGCTCTCTTGCTTATGGACTTTCTTTTATTGTATTTTCTCTAATTTTAAGTCTTCTGTTTTACGATCTGTAAAGCAACTTAATTCCGCTTTGTTGTAAAATTATTACTCATAACTTAGAGCCCTATTATTTTGGAATGATTTCTAGGTGAAGCTGTTTTTTGGTGCTCGTTCTTGTCTGGATGTGTAGCTGGCTCAACAGCAGCTTTGTTCGTCAATCCTTTTGATGTTGTGAAAACCAGATTGCAAGTCATCAACAAAGCAGCTGGAGAACGTACCTACTCTGGAGTTGGTGATGCAATAACGTAAGTTGCTAATTTATCTTTTTCTTTTCCAGGTAGTAATAGTTCCTTCCTTTGATAACGTAACTGACGGATATATAGTACGAGTGCAAACTTTTAGAATGATATCTTTTATTTGATCTTTTCCCCCCTTTCTTGCATTGTCATCGAGAAAGATTTTTTTTTGTTCCGTAGAGAGCATTTTTGAACAAATGAGGCTGGAACATAAAGCATGGCAATTTCAATTACTCTTGATAAATATAAAATGCTATAGAATATTTCGCAAATCAGTGCATACATGCATGTTCCGGATACAATTCATTCGCAGCAACAGAGTATCGTTTTTATACATGCTTGCCACTCTAGGCTAGCAAAAAGGAACCTCCAGAGACAGTCAAGCGGTTCTCGATCCGAGGAATTTCGGACAATCGCCCAGCATTTTTTACGCAGCTCCTTCAATTATGCCTCCTCGCTTTGGCCAAAAACTGTCAGAGGAAAAAACTTGAATCTGTGTCAAAAGAGTGTTAAATAAACAGTGTAAAGGGCCTCCCAAAGTTGATGATAATTTTGAAAAAATAAATTTGTACCTATCCTGTCAAATTGTTCTAAAGATCAAAAAATCCATCAAAATAAAAGAAAAAGTAGTAATGATTAGATGGAAAAACGGAAGAAACAGAAGACAATAGTCTGTCACTAAAACTGTTGAGAACATCTTTTTTTGATCACCCGTTTTTTAATGTTAAAAAGATTGCAAACACAAGCCACCCCAGCGCTCATTCCTTGTAAGGCGTGCCATCATCTAACAATTTAACAGTAAGATTCATGGCACAGGTTTTTTAACTAATTTCAATGATTTGCATTTTAAGTAATTACCATTTCTTCTGAATCTTCTCATTCTTTACCATGAATTCGTATTGGGAAACACATTTCAGATCCTATTTTTGTCTGAAAAAAATTGTTTTGCTTGTTTCAGCCAAACTCTGAAACACGAAGGAGTCACAGCATTCTTCAAAGGTGGTGCATGTCGTATGATTGTGATTGCTCCATTGTTTGGCATTGCCCAAACCGTATATTACCTAGGAGTCGCTGAGAAATTACTAGGCTACAGTAAATAAACTGCCCTGGGCCCTTGTTTTAATCTAAGTGAATCCCACCATAGAATTTGCTGTATAACATTTGCGGTATTACGAGATTCAATCTCAGGAAAATTCTTACCATACTGGTTTGTGTCACTAGTCATTCATGTTTATCTAGTTCCTTTCCCACACAACACCACAAACTTTGGTAACGAGTACCAAATCCTAGTCAATATTCGTTCACTTTTGCTAAAGATCAAACTGTAAAGTGAGAGTAAAGTATATTATAAGCTAATGAAATGTTCACTCCCAATAATAAAAGTCTCCTCTTGATACCGCTTCAGTTGATACTCCTAACCCTTTTACATTAATTGGTTTACTAACCCCCTAGAGCTTCATGGATTAAATGATAAATCAATGATTTCATTGTTAACTTAAAAAATCGGTCGATTTTCTAAGAAGTGAGTCAAATGAATTTGATGAGATATTAGAATTTAGTATTTTAACATTAAAAGAAAGAAAAAAAAGATAAGATAAAAAATATGGTGAAAAAACAAATAATCTCACCCATTAAAGTTGCCTTGTTTAATGACAGTTTTCTCAAGTCAAAACTTTTTATTGTGAATTGATTGTCAAAGTTGCACAGGTATTGCCTTCCCCATCCTTTATTCTTCATTTTCGATTCTCGATAGTAAAATTGTAGAAGTTCATCTATTTCTCTACAAATTAAGGCAAATATTTCACTCTCTGTCTATTTTAATTTTTTTAAGGTCTAATGTGTCCTTTCTTTGTACCTAATTAATGCGCCTAACACCTTTTTTTAGTCCCATCACTTTACAGGCCTCTGATTGTTCGATGAAGACTCAAGTTTGACAAATCAGAAGTCAATGTTTAGTTCTGTAGTTTGACGTATTAGACATGTTTCTCAAAAATCCAAGGATTAAAATTGACTTATTAGAGATCAATTTTCATAAGAGCCATTCGGAATCAGGTACCATCATACAGTCTTTGTTCTTGGTTAAATTAGACGAGTAAAGTGTTATCTTCTCTTTCTCACACATGTCAGAAAGAAAGCATTCATCAAATTCTCCATGAATCATTTCATACATCTTGTAACATTAGATTAAAATAATGTCAGACTTTGTTTTTGTCAATTGTACATCACTCAAGCTTCTCACAAAACATAGAAGTTAGTCACTCCGTTCCTAATTATTTAATATCCTGTTTTACTTCTAGTTTATTTTTCTTCTCTTCAAATGAGTGGGCTGGCTAAGTATTCTGTAGCTGGCAAATTAAGTTTTGTGAAATGTTGTTGCTGCCATTTTTAATAGGCGTTCCATTGGTTTAGAGAAAACTAGGATTTGCATCTTTAGATTTAGACCCTTGCTGAACGTCCCCTAATTACATGCAGCATGCAGAAGAATTGATGCCCAAATGTCTAATTTAAGTAGTAAGCTGCGTAATTGTGTATTGTATTCTACTCTTTAATTTAATTATGTAGTTAAAGTAGCTGTTACATTAAGTGGGAGTATTGAAAGAGCCTCACTTTTCTATAGCTAGAAAATTTGCATTTATTTTGGGATTCTTGAGAAGGTGCTTAACTTGATGTTTATGTAAGACTGATCTCATTTCATGTATTATACAGATGGCTGTAGAATAGACCATGATTCGGCAATCAATGATGTAGTTTGGTCAGGCTAAGTATCTTCAACCATGATTGATCGTAGTATTCATATTTCTAACATTCTCACGCTCATGAACAATTTGACCGATGAATATTGCTCCACCATAGCATGTAATACACAATTTAGCAGGACCCATGTAGCATTAAACAAATTAGTTGCAAGCACAATACTAGCTGAGCGCAATTTTTGTCAAGACTCGAACAACTGTTTAAAAATTATTTTGAAAATAGTTTTTAAAGAATTGTAGAGGAACTCAGAAGCATTAAAATTTTTTGAACATCATTTTTAACAAGTACTTTCTTTTGGAGTTCTTTTATCCATATTTTCTAAAAAAAATAACAAATTTTTTTAAGTCATTATAAATTCATGTATTGCCTCCTCACCAAGTATTTAATGCACAATTTCAATGTTGATGAGAGATTTTTCGACCAATCGAAATTGCCTTCAATGAATTTTTTTGTGTCCCTGTAAGAATTCAGATGCCTCAAGAGTGGTCATATGCTTTCATAGCTGGAAATATATGTTCAAGTTTGAAATGATTACTCAAGCAAGGGGTGCCTAACTGAGTTTAAGTAATATTCTACCATCCAGTCAAAAAACACAGTTCCAAAAATTTAGATGATAGAGTTTTAGTATCTAAATCAATTGTATGCTTTAAAACAACGTTTTTAATGTTTCTATCGCACAGTATTTTATACCTGTAGAAAAGTATTATTTTTTTATTTTCTTGGAGAAGTTTGAAAATTTTGACCATTTTATTTTCCCTTGAAAATTTTTTAACTGTACGAAGGGACAATGTAACCATACTTTTCACGGATATCAATGACTACATTTCATCATGTTGTTGGATTTCTACTTTGAATTGGGCTGATAATTGTCTCATCGTCACTCCTTGTAGCTGATACCTTTTTTGATACTGCGAAGCTGATTGTTATTTGATCATCTCTTTGCAAGGAGTATAAGCCAAGTAATATCTAGAAAATTAAGTTTTAAGGCCAAAATTTTTCCTAGGTCCATCTTCAATCATTGAGATTTTGTAGAGATTTACTTTAAGCACCCTGAAGGAGTATTCTGTTGTCTAATTTTATGAAACTCGTAGTTCTTTTGGTAGTTGATCGTAAGATGCATTCCAACGTGACAAATTTTCAAAAAGCTATGATTATAAAGGCATTGGATTTCTGAACTAACTAGAAGTCTTTGAGTTTTTATGAAAAATTACATTCAAAGCATAAAATAGTTGAACCTCTAAGACAGGTAAACCGATTGTTTAACAGAACAGCCAAACAGTAATTGAAAGCAATGAGAACTATTAGAAGGGCTATTAGAAATGAAGAGTGTAGTTAAGTATTTTTCAGAAGTATCATCTATGTTCCTCCACCACTTTCCAATGGATTGGTTTATCTTTTTGGAGCAAATTATTGTTGAAGTTTATTTTAGCAAAATATGTAAGATGAACATTTGTTTAAAGAGGGTATCATTTAATCTCATTATAGGCAGTTTTTAGACAAATATTTGCTTTATGACTTCAGGTCAGCTCAGAAACTTGTCTGCAAAACCTGCTTGTTGTCTCGCATGAGCATGTTTGGAGCCTCATTTATTTTATCATTGTTGTGTTGATAACATTTCTTCCGAACATGTCAAATGTCATTCTATATGATCATTGTTGTTATTTAATATGTAAGAAGTCTCAAAGACTGTGACTGCAGCCATGTGAAGCTAACGAACTTAGTACTTTGACAATATATTTTATGTAAATGTTAGTAAGTGTTAAGATGAATTTCAAATTTACCTACCTACACATGATATTTGAAAAATTTACATGCTGAAAGTGGTATTTGAATGTATTAAAAGAGTGTCATTCTATCCTTTATGTTACATTGACTTTAGATCAAAATCTTTTTTGTGTCAAAATTCATCAACATTATTCGTTAATAAAAATATTTAATTGCTCATGAGATAGAGTCAATTATTTTCTTTTCCTCTCTTCTGTTAGATATATTTGTGATGAACATCGAAAAGGAACTTACTTTTGTATAAAATTCTATTTTTGATCCAACCGAGGAGGAAATGTAAACAATCTGTGTCATCAAAAGTCAGTCGCCTAAATTTCATCATATTTGATTTTGGGATAAATCCCTCATTATCTCGATGCTTTTTTGTAAAACAATAAATTATTCTAGAGTATCTTCCCAATTTTGAACTCTTTAGGTTGGTGGTCCGAAGCCTGTGTGAGCAACTCAGCATCGCTGAGAAATACCAGAAAAATTTTTTAGCTGAGCTCTCCGTTCAGTCAAGAGGATCTCTTGAATGTTTTCTTGTCAGACTTTTCCCCTTGAGTTTGGTCCCTAATTATAGAGCTACATACATCATAAATAAAATATCATGAATGTAAGCGAATGTAATGCAGCCGAAATAATGAAGGTACCTAACACTAAAACCCTGAGACAGTATGTTCCTAAGGGTCAAGAAACTATCTAAAGCAAGCAAAACAGCAGTTGCTCAGAAACTTAGGTAATTCAACTGCAGCCCTGGGATATATTCTGTTTTTAGACATGCTTGCAGATGTTCAGGTTAAGAGCTGGCCATCGATTTAAGCCTAAAATATATTGTCATTAAACCTATAACATCATAATTTTACAAGCAATACCACCAGCTCTTTGGGAATCATTAAGAAATTTAAAAAAAATGATCAAAATGTCGAAATTGTATGTTTCCCTGCTTTACTAGCCCTTCTCTGGTTGCTATACCTAGTTGAATTTTTTTGTTATGAAAGTGTCATGAAGTTTTATGTTGTAATATAGTGTTGAATAGATCAAAATACAAAACATTAATTGTCAAAAATACTGGTTCTTATTTTCCTTCACATGTTTTTACCACAGTTGAGTGATTAGTAATTTTGAAAACCCCTCGCCCCTCATCATTAGGGTTACCTAGAGTAGATGAGGCACTATAGGAGGAGTTGTGTCGGTGTAATGACTAAAATTGCCGTTCTATCTGCTCAAATATCGTGTTTCCTCAGAAAAATCGAACACTTTAAAATTAGCCATATCCAAAATAAGGTAGACCGTTTGATTTTGTCGATGAAACCATCACTGTGAAGGTTGCACCAACCTGGGACCTGGGACTAAGTAAGCACAATAGATGAATAGACTGATTGAGTTTACATTGAAATAAGGGATATGCATAGCGTTGAAAATTCTTGAATTTTTTTTTCTTTTTTTTCAAATGGAGTATATAGATAGCGTACCTACCTAACTACAAAACCTCGTATCTCGGTTGGTGACCTCGCAGATTTCACACCGTATCTCATTCTCTCGAGGTAAGTATGCACTGGAAAAAAAAACCACATTGGATCTAGAGTCCAGACTCTTGAAAACATTGACAAGAAAAAGAACTCTCGATTCAATCAGATTTAAGCTTAAATCAAAAGGAAATTCGCTCAAATTAAGAGGCTTGGTTCTTGATTTAAGCTTAAATCTGATTGAATTAAGAGTACCTACTTTTTCTTGTCGATGTTTTTAAGAGTCTGGGACTCTAGATCCAATGTGTGGTTTTTTTTTTTTTTTCCCAGTGTGACTTTATAATCATAATGATGCCCTAAATTTCGTATGATTTCCCTCCACCGTCCAAAATATATTCTGAAAATTTCGGACAAAAATCTCCTCTAATGGAAAATTTGCACACACAAATTTTATCGCTTCATCTGAGAGTGCTTAATGAGCTGAGTCGACAGTATTTTCCATAAGTTTACACTGAAATGGGAAATTGGAGGAAAATGGCTTTAAAAGTAAGAAAATGTGTAGCCTTGTGACGTCATCTGGCAGCATTTTCCATTTAAACCCTTGTATTTTATTTTGGCAGATTCGGTTATTTCGTCATATTTCCGCCTCCTATAATTGTTCAATTTAGATACCAAGGACCAAGGGTATCCTCGTGCTCAGTTTTCCTAACAGTTTCATTTCTAACATAAAATGTACAAAATTTCGGACACCTGCAAATTCTCCATTGTCTCTTTAGAAAAGTAGGAGCGAAAATTTTGAAACGTTGCAATCAAATAAATACACGAGATTTGTTAGTTTCAGCAGCGTCGACATCCTGAGCCAGGCCGAGGAAGCCGACACAGATAGTAAATAACGCCTGGAATGATGCATCTATTGCGGCTCTCAAAATGTCCGTGCTGCATACACGCAAAGTTGAAGGCGTTTCAAATGCTCTTCGTGCGCTGCCGCCTGGTTAAATGAGAATGCCGTATGGAGTCAGGCGGAAAGGCCTACCGCCTAAGGTAGAAAAAAATGAAATTATGTAGGGCCAAAATACTGGACCATGTATTTCCGTTTGCGACGTTGAAGACTTCCCGTCATACTTAATATTTTCTGTAGAAAACTAGTCAACGTAATTTCTTAACTTCCTTCATTTATCTTCTGGGTTAGAGGAATATTCTGTATGAATTTCAAAGTATGAAATTTGCTTGATTTTCTTCGAAAAAATGAAATAGGAGCGGCAATTCTGAAACACCGCAATGGAGGTACATGGTTTCGCCTTTAACCATTGATATGAATGGAGGTACCACAACATTGAGTGGTTAGTTTTGCATCATTTAGAGCAAAGAACTCACCATCAAAAATATTCTAAAAATTGAGCCCCGAAGAATAAGTTAAAGTTAGCGAACGATAAATTGCGAATTGAAGCATGAAATTAGCCGGCGCCGTTGCCAGACTTATAAAATGTCACGAATAATGCAACTAATGAAGTAACGCAAGATAATGCAATAATTAAACAAATTACGTTCCCGAAAGTAACAAAATTGTTTAGAAGTGATAACTAAAAGTCGACATTTTTGACCTGTGATCGGTTTTCCCTCCGCGTAGAATGATGTGCTTTTCCTTTTAAAGAGCGTTTTTGCCCGTATCACAAGTATTTTTCAACGGAAAAATCGCTGTATCTTGAGATTAGGCTACGATTTTTTTACGATAAAATCGCTAAAGGAGCATCAACATTTGAGCGATTAGCCTCGATCTTGTCGCTATTTTACCTCCATTAAATCGCATTCGATAAAATCGAAATTTTATCTCAATTTATGACGATTTTCCGCTCGATAATATTGCAATAGATCGCCGTCGGGGAAACCGCGATTCTATCGCAAAATGTGACGAAATTGCAATTTAGGTATCGCTATTTTTCATCCGATAATGGTGCAACAATTCGACGTCGATAAAATCGCCATATATTCTCCGATCGAATCGCAACTTAGCGCGATCACTGCTACTTGGAAGATGGAGAAGGCCTATCCTCAAAGATATATTTTTGAAGGAATGAGATGTCTTTAAAGCAATTCTGAGCTTGTTTAATAGAAGAATTGATTAAAATATAGTTCCGAAGATGAAAGATGTGTCACGACTGTCACGTATTATTCAGCAAAAACCCCTTACATTGTCTAGAGGGAGTTAAGTAGATTTCGGGGGGGGGGGGGGGGGCAGTTCCCCCTAGTTATCCGCTTATGTTTTTACCTGACTACATTGCAAATTATACCCAAAATGTCCCAATTGAGAATACGCCAACCTCGATTAAAACAAATTGACTACATCTTGCAATTTGGAAATATGAATTCTAGCCCGGTTTAAAAACAACGTATGTGTCATTCGTTTCCGTATGCATGTAAGTGTTTTTCCAGGAGAGCCAGAATTTATAGTTCTAAATTGCAAAATACAGTCCAAATGACTATGGCGGAGTGGCGCACAATGAATCGATTCAATTAGAGAAGTTGGACATAAAATTTTTGACTGAAACTGCAAATTTTGATGTTTATTTCGTTACATTTTAAACTTTAAAGGGTGCGTCTGCAAGAAAATTTCACGAGGAAACCAATGGAACCACTTTTGAAACCTCAAAGTTTTGTTTAAACGGAGTTATGCTTTTTAAGTTTCCAATGTTGTCCGGCCTCACATATTGACTCGATTCACTGTGCGGCGCGAGCATTTTTATCACTCCTTGGGGGATTTGCAAGGGGTTCTTTGGTGGAGCCCAAGCTGGGATGGAATGGAATGGAATGGAATGGAATGCTGATCCCAAAATTGCAAAAAAGCATTTTATTCGAAAAATTTTGTCTACAAAGAACTGAAAATAAAAAGTAGACGAATAGAGCTCCACAATCATTTCATTTGTATATACATTATTATATATTAAAGTAAGAAATAAAATAAAGTAAAAATGGGCGTGTCGTAGACGTGCCCCTATGACAGATATAGCAAAATAAGAAGAGAAAAAAAATTACGGCCGAGAAAAAAGGCGGAAAATTTATAAATGAGCGGGAGAAGAGAAAGTAAGAGTAAAGAAAGGTCCTCTTACGTATGATACAGGTGAACGGAGGTCCTGGGGACTATAAACCGGAAGTAAGTCCTCAGATGAAGCACCCGAGCCTACTAAAATAATAGAAAATTGATGTTTTTTTTTATTTATTGAATTCAGATTTTGTGCCCGTAGCTCAATATTTTAAGGAGCAGGATGAGGAAAATTGGGACATGCCGGTTTAAGCAAATTTTAATGGAGCCTTATGGCCTTTAGAAAGTTTACACTCAATTTTTATTCCATAAAAGTTGGATATTAATAGTGCATTTTTCACGGAACATATTTAAAGACTAATTTTACTTGAAATGATTGATGTCTCAACTGTTTCAAAAACTGAGCGTATGCGCCTTGACCTCCATGCCCTCAAATGAAACAAACGAAACTAAATAGAGCAAGGGAAAGGACGCACGTTGACGACGGCGCAGAGATACAACTATTCGTGCTTGATGGATGTCCGTGTTGCGTCTGCAAAATTGAAGGCAGCGATGGCGCGAGCTGTGAATTCGCGATGTTCCGCAGCTCCGCTCTTTGCTGCCAATGAGGTGTCGCTCAGATTTGGGAGAAAAGTTAAAAAACGACACCTGATTATTATACGACTCTCCTATTTACGGCTGGTTTGCTCACGCAGCCTTTACAGCCACAACAAATACAAATAATACAAACTATAACAAACACAGTATGGAAATGGAGCAAAGTAAAAGAAGCGCGTTGATGACGGCGCAGAGATACAAATATTCGTACATGATGGATGTCCGTGTTGCATCAGCAAAATTGAAGGCGTGATGGCGCAAAGCGTGCACTCGCGATGCTCTGTTCTATATTGCCAATGTGGTTGTCGCTCACAATCAGATTCGGGAGAAGAAGTTTAAAAAGCGAAGCCCGATTACGTCTCGCTTTTTTTCCTACTTGATTTTTTCTTCTTTTTTCAATTTCAAGTCTGATTCATTTTCTACGATGTATTTGCAAACCTCCATCTAAGGCTTGTAGGTACTGGTCCCTTACAACCACGTGCTTTAAGCAAGCCTTGGATCAATTTGATCGGGCCTCATCATCCAAGGGTTAATGAAAATATCGTTAAAATAACTGAACCTTGTTCGCCAAAAACTCAGCATTCAACAACGGAGCCAAAAGAAGCCATTCACAACCAGTAAGTGAATTTCGATCAAATTTAGTATACATACTCGCAAAATTAGACTCCAATCGTTCGGTCACGTCTAAAAAACAATGCCTGCATGTATCAACAAAATGATTGTTGAATGATCCACTGTTACTTTAGATCTCTGATCCATTTAATATATTTTTATTCCTATAACTTCATTTTCACTTTTCTTACTGAACGCACCTTGTCTCTCCTTCAAAATTTCACATTGTACTCTCTAGATAGAATGCTTCATTTTTCGACGAGGTTAAAAAGAGCTTTCCGGATGACATATTTCTCGAGTTCATGAACCTGAAAATGATGCATCATTCTCAGACTTTAGTATTTAAAAGCAATA